AGGGCGGCCGGGACCACCATGCGCTTTTTCTTGTCGTAGGGCGGTGGGATCCCATCAAACACCTTGAGGCGTTCCAGGGCTGCCGGGCCTCTTAGTCTTGCGTGGCAGCATGCCTCCCACGGTCTGCCAGAAGATGCGGCTGGGGCCCGGAAGTGGTGGGGACCCAGAAGGGTTGGTATTCATTCGCTTGCGGAGGAAGGCCAGCTACTTTAACTTATTTCTGTAGAAATTGCCAGAAATGTTGATGCCCTCACGGCGCACCACCACGTTTGGCCCAGCAGTACCTGCTTGGCCACAATGGCCGCCAGACGGCCCAGGACCTGCCCCTCCGCCATCTTCGGCAGCCGCCTGGGAAAGAAGCACCAGATATCCTTAAAAAGCTTCAAAAATTGGTGGCTGGAGGGAGCAGAGAACTAGACCAATTGGTCCATGTAGCCACATCCATATACTATAATAGGGACTTAGCAAAAGAAAAGGACCTGGGAAGGGAAGAGAGAAAGGATAAGCAGCAGGAGGCTGTGATCACAGCACTCAGAGAGGCTTCCCCAGGGCAAAGTCCACACCCGAGGACATGCTTTCAATGTGGACAGGCAGGCCATTTTAGGAGGGAGTGCCCCCGGAGAAAGCTACCTCCGGGACCCTGCCCCATTTGTGGGGAAAACACTGGAAGGCACACTGTCCCCGGTTCCCAGGGGAACTAAGGCCACAGCCTCCCACTTAGGGACGGGTTTCCAGGCCTCCCATCCAGGCTCTGTAACCACCGTAAAAGCAGAGGAGCCCTGGGTTAAGCAAAGGTCAGCCTCCTTATCGATACTGGACCAAGCATCTCAGCTGTTCCTTTCTCTCCCAGACCCAGGTCCTCAAGAAAATTCCTGTTCGAGGCATATCAGGCCAGCCTCTAGAGTGTTATTTCACTCAGCCTTTAGCCTGCTCCTGGGGAGATTTCCATTTCTGTCACTCCTTTCTAATTGTCCCAGAAACCCCTACTCCTGCTAGGGCGAGACCTTCTATCTAAACTGGGGGTACAGCTCCTTTTACCCCAGGCGAGTACTTTTGCTTACCCCAATAGAGGAACAAGTAGACCCCACAGTGTGGACAGATGGACATACCATGGGACACCACGAACAGCAGTCCCAGTCCTAATTCATGTCAAGGACCCCTCCTGGTCTCCCCATCAAAACCAATATCCTTTAAAGCCAGCGGTTAAGGAGGGGCTAATTCCCATAATCAAAGACTTAAAGAGACAGGGACTGCTAATAGAATGCTCCAGCCCATGTAATACTCCTATTCTCGGTGCCAAGAAGGGGCCTAACAAATGGAGGCTAGTCCAGGATCTCCACCTGATAATGAAGCAGTGGTGCCTCTCCACCCTGTAGTTCCAAATCCCTATACGCTCATAGCCCAAATTCCCCCAGGTATTGCTTACTACTCTGTCCTGGACTTAAAGGATACCTTCTTTTGCATTCCCTTACATACTAAAAGTCAACCTGTCTTTGCATTTGAGGACCCTATAAGAAAGTCTGACAGGTCACTTGGACTGTCCTTCCCCAGGGATTTGGAGACAGCCCCCACCTCTTTGGGTTAGCTCTAACCCAAGACTTGGCAGAGTGGCAATACCCACAAGCTACTCTGCTACAATATGTAGATGACCTCCTGCTCTGTGGACCAAATGAGCCTGTCATTTCACAAGCCACTGAGTCCTTACTAAACTTCTTAGCAGACAGAGGTTATAAAATCTCTAAAGAAAAAGCCCAATTGTGTCAGTCTAGGGTTACATATTTAGGTCTTGTCCTGGAGAGAGAAATGAGGGCTGTAGAAGAAGATAGAATCTGTCCAATCCTGATGTTTCTCTACCTAAAACTCTGAAGCAATTGAGGGCCTTTTTGGGGGTCACAGGATACTATAGAATTTGGATCCTGGGATATGCAGACCTAGCCAGGCCTTTATATCAAATCCTTAAGGAAGCACAGAAGGATCCCCAGCCCTTTTTTGAGTGGGATGACAAGTCAGAAAATGCATTCCACAGGTTAGAAAAGGCCCTTATGACAGCTCCTGCCCTGGGTCTCCCAATACAAGACAAGTTTCAATTATATGTCTATGAAAAGGGAGGACTGGCCTTGGGCATGGTGACTCAGCTCCAGGGCATCACTCCCCAGCTAGTGGGCTACTTAAGTAAAGAATTAGCTCAAGTAGCCAAGGGATGGCCAGGATTCCTCAGAGCAATGGCCACAGTAAGCCTTCTAGTACATGAAACTCAGAAACTTATCCTAAACCACCCCCTAAGGGTTTATACCCCACACGACCTAGGGGGAATTTTAAACTCAAAAGACAGCATCAGCATGTTCCTTTTATTTGCTAACTATATTGCTATGGGGCTTGGTCTTCTGGGAACACTAGCACCCCTATATAGGAAGAGCTACAGCCCTTCATGGAAGACCAACAGGTTTTTAAGCCTCTTTTGAGCATTTGTCCTTCCAAAATCCCCCCATAGGACTCTTGGGCTATGAGAGACCAACAGCTGCTCACCTGCCGGCATGGGTCCTATTAAATTTCACTCAGGGTCCCTTCCCTTCTTTGATATTCAGGCCAGATAACTTCTCCTATGCCATGGTTCCTTTTATAGGGGTCCCATGGAAAAACCAGCCTACTATGTCTTACTCTTGGCTTGGGTTCATTTCTCAGATGAAAATTTGGATGTTTAATGCTTCTGTCCCAGACAGCTATATACCAGTTTGTCATTCGTCAAACATCCCAAAAGGAGTTTTTGACTTTACCACCCTTAAAGGTGATGATCATCTGAAAGCCAGCTGGCACTGTATGAATAACTCCAAGAGCCTCACTCTTATGTGTCCTGATGTGTTTAGAGTTAATACTTGTAATGGGAGACTTGTCTCCGAGCTGACCAAGTTCTCAAACCTCACTGGTAAAAACTCTTATTGCATACTTATTACTGGCCATCACAAGTGTGTTTTAACAAAATATACAACAGTATTAAGAAAACTATATAAATGTACCTTTCCACTCCCTGTGCCTCCATCTTTTACCAGCAGGCTTAATGTCTCTGACTACCTGTTTCCAGGAGACAACTCCCAGGCCCAGGCTAACAATACCCAAGGTATTTTATGCCCTGAGGAACAATACCTCTTTATAGGGAGGTCATGGAAAAAGGACCAGGTATGGGGGCTGCCATGTCTACACCCAAACCATACTTGAGGAAATTGGGCAATTGCCCAACTAATACCTAATCCTGAACATATTTCTTTTTGGAATAATACTATAACACAACAAACTAAAATTTCCCAACAAAGGGGAATAGCTTCCTATAGGGATAAAAGGGAGACCACTCTAATGGTTTTAGGGATAAAAGCATTAGTTACAGCCCTAGCTGGAATAAGCTATGGGGTGATTGCCAATCATGTAACTGCAAAAAACCTAACCAAAATGGTAGAGGGCACTTCAGACCAGGTAGGCCTTGCCATTGTTGTCCCTTGACTGTGTGGTCACGGACCACCGCCTGGCCCTAGATTTTCTTTTGGCTAAAGAAGGAGGGGTAGGTGCCATCGCCAGTACTTGCTGTTGCACATACATAAACACTTCAGGCATTGTAGAGGAACGTGCAGACTACATTCTCCAGCAGGCTAAGTGGCTCCGGGAGCAATCTCTTGAAACTCAGGTATCCACACAGGTATGGGACCAAATAAAATCCTGGCTCCCCTCCAGGACTTGGTTCCTATCCTTTCTGGAGCCTATAGTTGCCATTATTCTCTTGCTTGTGTTTGGGCCTTGCATTTTAAACTTACTTGTCAAGTTTGTTTCTTCTTGCCTAGAATCCATCAGACTACAAATGCCCCTGATGGAGATGAAAACGACCTACTATCCTTACTATCGTGGTCCCCTCTAACTCCTCTCTCATGGTCAGCCCTGAGGCTGTGGGCCCCTTCATCGCCCCCTGTCAGCAGGAAGCAGTTACTGAATAGACTTCATTGTCCCTATCCCTAACAGTAGTTAGGGCCACCATTGAGAGGAAGGATTGAAGGAAGGACTGAAGGATGTCCCAAAAGGTGATAAGTGGTCAAGGAGACATCTCTCCTTCCCAGGAAACCTCTGTCTGCACCTAAGAGACACCTCTGCCTTCAGGCAATGCAAAAAGGCTATAAAAACCCAGTCCCCATCCTGACCCACAGGACCACTGGTTTCCAGGTCCCGCTACATTCCCTGCCATGCAGTCTATCTCTTCTCTTCTCTACAAATAAAATCTTTCCGACCTCTGCTGCTGGAGTCCGCCTGTGCTTTCATTCTCAGAACGAGCTCAAGAACCCTGAGCACCTGAAATTCCAGCATGTGTCATCTGTGCATTAATAGTAATGACAAAATCAAAGAAATTAAGACATGGGGTGGGGGAGGATGTGAGAGCAACAATTTCCTAACTTTTCAGAAAATACAATCTGAAGCTGAACCATGAGGATAAAATGCGAGGGGCTTGACCTCTTAGAAATTTTCATAACTTTTTTTTGTTTATAGTCATAGGCGAAGTCAGCTACAAAATTCTCAGGGCCAGTGGAAAATGAGAAGGCAGAGCTCCTTGTTAGAAAATTAAGTGACAAGACGGTGACAGCAGAGCATTAAACCAGGCCCATGTTTTCTGAGCAGCAGTGGGCACTACCTGAAGCTGGCTCTGACACTTACACATGTTCTAAAACGCAGTTTAAATTCACAGAGATGCGATTTTTTCCAAATGGAAAACACCAACGGCTATTTTTGGGTAAAATGTCGATATTTTGGGGTTTTCCTGTATTGCTCTTGTGCTCAGGATGGAGCGAGCCTCTCATTCACACCATCATCTTTGCAATAGCTGCTCTCTGGTCTGACCTGGGCGGTGCAAGGCAGGCAGGGGCGGTACTGGGGCGGGGTGGAAGAGCTCTGGGCACCGCCTTCTGCGCATGCGCGCGATTGTCGGCGCGGCCGGAACTCCATTTTGGGGTTGTGCGTCTGGCGGAGCGCATTGGGCGAGGCACCGGACGTCGGCGACTGGCGGAGCCGGCGGCGAAGCTGGAGCGGCGGTGGCGGCGACGGCGGGAGGCCGGGGCTGAGGCCGGGGCTGGGGCTGCGAGGCCAGTGGGGCGGCAGGCGGCGGCGGCCCGGGGCCCAAGCCCGGAGGCAGGAGCGGCCGCTATGTCCGAGAGCATCGTGAGTGCGGCGGCCGGGCGGGAGCGGGCGCGCCGGGATGAGGCAGCAGATTTGCCGGCACCCTGGGCGGGCCCGCGCGCGGCCGTCCCGGGCCCGGCTGGCTCCTCCGCGCCCGCCCTCGGCGTGTGGCCGGGAGAGGCCGGCGGGGGGGGGGTAGGCCGAGCCGGCAGGGCGGAGTGGCCTCCCTGCCGTCCGGGCCCCTGAGAGGGACGTCGGCCTCCTCCCAGGCCCGGAGCCGGTTAGGGCCCTCCCACCTCCCCCATCCCGCAGGACCTCGTCCTGGGTCACTCCGGGACAGCCTGGGTGTCGAGGGCGGCGTTAGGCAGCCCCTTCCCCGCAGAGGACTCGGGTCGGGGCCAGGCAGTAGCCTGGCGGCTTTGCCCCCAAGCTTTCAGGAAAAACACGACTACCTGTTTAACAGGAGCAGGGTAAAGAAGGGCTGGTGGCACTTTTACCTGACACCGGGCATTGCTGCCCTCCTCCTCCCCCTTAAAGTGGAAAATGTCAGTGAGAAAGGAGAAAAACCAGATTTGTGGAGTTTTTCCCTCCAGAGTCAGTGTGGCTGGGGAAAAGTTAACAGAATTCTGGTCAATGTTGAGGAACGTTTGGGACTTGCCCAAGAAGGATTGGGTGGCAAGTAATGTCCGTGCTTTAGGCCTAGGATTGCCTCTGCCGTCCTGCCTGAGTGTGACCACCGTGCACTTTTCTGATGTGGTGGGTCTCCAGGAAACTCGGGCTCTTGGAGTTGAAGACTTTTTTTCTAAGGGTTCACTGGGCGGAGTGAGCACACCATCCAAGAGAAACCTTAGAAAGGCTGACTTGCCTAGAAATAGGGCAGGGTATCAGCACTCACGTCTGCTTTCAAGCTTTTTACTTACTGCAGTAATTTTTACTGAGATTAAACAGCCTTGCCCAAGTGAGTTCCAGGCAGGATATTTGCACCAGTGAATTTTCTTTTTTTTTTTCTTTTTTGTGGTATTGGGGTTTGAACTCAAGGCCTACACCTCCACCAGCCCTTTTTTGTGAAGGGTTTTTTCGGGATAGGGTTTCTGAACTATTTGCCCTGTGGCTTTGAACCGGGATCCTCCTGATCTCTGCCTCCTTAGCTAGGATTGCAGGCCTGAGCCACCAGCACCCAGCTGCACCAGTGAACTTTTAAAGCTGGGCTCTCATGGACAACATTGGGTCTCAGTTCTTGAGGAATTCAAACAACCTTCTTTTGAAATTGATTTCAGAAGCCTTTCTCATCCCCCTTTAAATTCAGAAAGATATTTAAAAAAAATTATGATTTGTATTTCACCAATTCTCCAAACTTTTTCTGTGTTGATTTACTTTTCTTTCTTTCTTTTTTACTTTGAGGCCTAGGTCTTTGCTATGTTTCCCAGGGCTGGTGGAGTGGCTCAAGTGTTAGAGTGCTTGCCTAGCAAGCCTGAGGTCCTGAGTTCAGGCCCCAGTAAATGAATGAATGCAATGAATTTCTGGGCTCAAGTGATTCTCCTGCTTCAGCTTTTAGAGTAGCTGGAACTACACATGCATGCCAGCACACAGCCTCATTTTCTTATAAATAAGGAGACCTAAGTCACTAAGAGCTCCTAAGAGGGTTGTGTGTCCATGTGGCCCAACCTGTCCCTTCCTTTATATTTTGTTTTGTAGCCTCTGTAAAGGGTCAGACCAGAACTTCAGTACAAGTTATGTTCAACCCAGACTCTCATGCGCTTTTGTAGGGGATCAGGTGGAATGACTTGAATTTCTTGGTGTGACCTCTTGCTCCTCATGGAGCTAGGCAACAGGCTCCTCATCCTAAGTGATCAGTTGAAGGAGCATTCACAGAACTCCACAAAGAAGCAGAATTCTTCACTTTTAATATGCCTCACTGTTAGCAATAGATTTCAGAATGAAATACATGGAAGTATTTACCTTACGTTTCCTAGGTATTGACTCTAGAAGGAAGAACACTAGAAGTCAGAAGTCAGACTAATTCATTTATGTTTGCGCTTAACAGATGAGTGAGAAGAGAGAAGATTAAGCAGATGTGGTTAAGAAGCAAAAATAACACAATGTCTTTGTTAAAGACACTTATAGGGATTACTCAGAACAAACTCTTAAAAGATGGGCAAAGCTAAGTGAAAGTTACTATAAAACAAGAGACAGAATCATGTAATTTTGGGAAAGTCAGGATTTCCTCCACTATCTCCCCAGAAAGGGTTTCACTATGAATCCTAGATTGGCCTTAAACTAGTGACTTTCCCGCCTCAGCCACCTGAGTTCTGGGATTACAGGCTTGTACCACCACACCTGGCTTAGATTATTCTAAATTAATAGATAAAAGTGAACAGAGTTCAGTTGACAGTAAGCCATTGTGGCATTTTGTAGTGTATCAGTGGAAATCTTTTTTTTGTTTGTTTTTAACAATGTCTTGTGACATTTTTTTGTTCACATAGTTGTTTTAAGTATGGTGCACCATTAGTAATTGCCATGAGGAGAAACTACAATGTGGGCATTTTCGGGCATGTTCCTGTATCTCCCTTGCCACCCTTCAGGTGGTTGTAAAGCAGCTGCCTTGTTTGCAGGGTATGCCAGTTCATGTTCCCTGAGTAAAGCAGGGACTGGTACAGTGGCCAGCATAATGTGCCCTCAGAGGGTCTTGATAAATGTAAAAATCAAGGCCCGGAAAGGGGTGCACATCCAGTAGTCTTGCAGACCTGCCAATCTTTTCAGTTTGCCATGAAAATATCTTCTTAAAGCCCTGCTAATGTTTACCATGATGTTAAAAACCCTTTTATCCTTCCCTTTCTTCTTTCTTTTTCCTGGGATTGAACCCAGGGCCTCCTGCATGCTTGGCAAGCAGTTGTACCACTTAAGCTGTACCCCAACCCTTGCCCGGTCTGCCTTTGAACTGGAGATCCTTCTGCCTCTGCATTACAAGCATGTGCCACCACACCTGGCCATATATTTCTTTAATTTTCATCTTTCTATTACAAGTAAATAACAAATTAGAAGATTTTTTATGATTCTTTTATGTCAGTGTAATGTCTGTGTATTGATCCTGGAACAATGGGATCTTTTGTAAAGAACCCAGCCATGGGTGCTGGTGGCTTACCTTTGTAATCCTAGCTACTTGGGAGGCTGAGATCGGGAGGGTTGTGGTTTATATCATTCAGGACAAATAGATGGTGAGACCTCATGTCAAAATAACCAGAACAAGGGGAGGAGGGGAGGGAGCACAAACAATGTATACACATTAAGTAAATGTAAAAATGATTTAAAAAAAAACACCAAATAAACTGTGGCATATCAGAAAAAAAAAACCCCACAAAATAACCAGAGCAAAATGGACTGGTGGTGTGGCTCAAGTGGTGGATGGCCTGTTCTGTAAGTGTGAAGCCCAGATTTCAAACCCTAACCCAACACCCAAAAAAACCAGCTGTGTGCCAGTGACTCATGCCTGTAATCCTGGCTACTCAGGAGGCAGAGATCAGAAGGATCAAGGTTCAAAGCCAACCCAGACAACTAGTTTTCGAGACCCTATCTCGAAAAAGCAAATGCTAAAAAGGGCTGGTAGAGTGGCTCAAGGTGTAGACCCTGAATTCAAAGTTCAGTCCCCACCCCCCAACAAAAAAACAATAAAACCCAGTCAGCCATTCATGTTTTATGGGTTTTTTTTTTTTATATCTATTGCTTTTTGGTAAGTTTAAAGAAAAAAAGTGTTTCAGACATAACTATAAATACTGGTTAAATATCAAAGTTGTATTTTTCTGTGTAAAACTGTAATTTCAAATCAGGACATTACTCTTAGGCTGTCTGGCAGCCTGAGGTTTTGAAGCAACTCACCCCTCTGCTTCTTCTACTACAAAGATGGAGTTGGTTAGCGGAAGGGTGATGTTTGCCTTTCAGTTTCAGTGATGCAACTGCTAAAAAACTGCAGATGTAATTTTTTTTTTTTTGGTGGTACTGGGCCAAAAAACTTGTGGCCTTGCACTTGCTAGGCAGGCACTCTACCGCCTGAGCCACTCTGCCAGCCCTGTAATTCTTATAAATAGATCAGAATCTTACTAGACTGTGTAGTAACCATCTTGTTTCATTTACAATAGATAATCCGTGTCCAGTCTCCGGATGGAGTGAAGCGGATTACTGCAACAAAGAGAGAAACAGCCGCAACATTTTTGAAAAAGGTAACTGGCTTGCTGGGCAGGTGCCTTGCCACTTGAGCCGCTCTGCCAACCCATGTGCATTTGTTTTTCAGGGTCTGTTCACCCTCCACTGTTACTTTCATTTATACCTTTTCTCTTTTCCTCATTTCCTTTTTCCTCCTACTGCCAAGTTGTCTCTTGCATGGCTTTTGTTTTTTTCTTTGTGGTTGGGCTAGATGGCTGTTGGATCAGATGTTTGTCACAGCTGATCACTGCTTAAGGTTGTAGAACTAAGAGCCTTAAGTATAGGTGTCAAAGTATTTTGCAAGAGTAATATTTATTTATTTTTTGCTTTTGGGTGGTACCAGAGTTTGAACTCAGGACCTGCACACTTGCTAGGCAGGTGCTCTAGAACTTGTACAGTCCACCAAAGTGCCACACTTTGAGGCACTCCACCAGCCCTTCTTTGTGTTGGGTATTTTCGAGATAGGATCTTGTGAATTGTTTGCTCCATCTTGCTTTGAACTGCGATCCTTCTGATCTCTGCCTCATGAGTAGCTATGGTGTGAGCCAGTGGCTCCTGGCTGCAAGAGTAATATTTATGAGTGAAAATTCAGAGAAAACTTTAGTTGTCCATTAAAGAGGATTTGTTAAAAATGTATAGAGTGATTGCACTCTGCTTTAGAGAAGTGAAAGCCTCAGGCACATTTGTGTGAGCAGAGAGTGATAGGAGAGAGCTCAGGGCAGACCCAAGAGGGGTGATTCTGGATGAGAGGCCCCAAGTAGGGAGAATATATTTTGATTTATACTTCACGCTAAAGGCTAGCACACTGTGGTCCACAGGTCAGCCTACTGATTTTACAAATTCCCATTTATTGGAGCCAGCCATACTCATTGGTTTCTGTATTGTCAACTGGTGGTGTAGAGCCTGTATGACCTGTAGTGCCATAAATATTCACTGCCATCTGACCTTACACATAAAGGTTTGCCTGCCCCTGTTCATGCTGTTTGAATTTGTTGCCAGCAGATACTAGCTTTATAATGATTAAAAATAGTTTTTTCATAAGCAAAATATATATAGTTTAATGGCTATTAGAGGAAGAAAGAATCTTCAATGTGTCAAAAATTCAGTCTTTTATTAGTTATTTATGTTTTAGTGGGACTGGGGGTTGAACTCAGGGCTTCCTGCTTGCAAAGCAGGTGCTGTACTGCTTGAACCACATCTCCACACCTCCAGTCCACCTAGTTATTTTTTAGATAGGTTTTCCATTTTTGGCTAGAACTGGCCTTGACTATGATCCTCCTATTTATGCCTCCCATGTAGCTGGGATGACAGGCATGTACTCGCACACCCAACTTTTTTGTTGAGATGGGGTCTTGCTAACTTTTTGCTTGAGCTGGCCTCAAACTGCATTCCTCTAGACCTTTGCCTCAGGGTAGCTAGGATTATAGGCATGAGGGACCATGCCTAGAGAGTCTTTTTATTTTCACAAAGGTGGAGCCTACAGTCTGGAAAGAGATTTGCTGAGGATCTCACTGGGCCTATAATCTGTTAGTGAAGCTACAATTTACTTGGGAAATGTTTCAGAAAGACAGGTGCTGTCAGGATTCCAATCCCATTGTTTAAGGGTCCATATTTATAAGACTAAAAAGAAGCCAGCTGGGTGCTGGTAGCTCATGCCTGTAATCTTAGCTACTCAGGAAGCAGAGATCAGTAGAATTGAGGTTTGAAGCCAACCCTGGGCAAATAGCTCATGAGACTCTATCTCGAAAAAACCCATCACAAAAAAAAGGGCTGGTGGAGTGCTGAGGTGGTAGAGTGCCTGCCTGACAAGCGTGAGATCCTGAGTTCAAACCTCAGTTTCACCATAAAATAAATAAATAAAAGGAACCCCATTAGTTTAAGATCAGCTTGGGTAACATAACGAGACCCTGTTTCAAAAAAAAAAAAAAATGAAAGAATAAAAAGAAAAAGAAATAGATGCAATAGGTGATAGAGAAGAGAACTTGTAAGTCTTTAAGAGCCTGGTTTTGGGCTGGTGGAGTGGCTCAAGTGATAGGTAGAGTTCCTGCCTAGCAAGCATGATGCACTGGGTTGAAACCCCAGTACTGCCTAAAAAGCCTTTTTTTGGGGGGAGGGATGACTGGGGTTTAGACTCAGAGCTTCATACTTGCAAAGCAGGTGCTCTACTGCTTGAGCCGTACCTCTAGTCCATTTTGTTCTGGTTATTTTGGAGATTGGTCTCTTGAACTATTTGCCAGAGCTTGCCTCAAACCACAGTCCTCCCAAGTAGTCGGGAGTATAGGTATGGTGGCAAATTGTAGTGTATTATTCCTTTTTTATAGTTTTATTTATTTATTTATTTTGGCAATGCTGGGTTATGAGCTAAAGGCTTTGTACTTGATAAGCAGGTGCTCTACCACATAAGCCAGTCCCACAGCCCATGGGATTTCTTAAATATATAGTAACTATTTAAAAATAATGATTTTTTTTAACTTGATTTTTTTAGTATAACAGGATGAAAGGGGGGAAAATGGGAAAAAAAAACATTTCCTGCCCCCATGGAGGAAATGGGAGTAGAGACTCCCCACTCCCCTGTATGCTTTTTTTTTTTTTTTTTTTTTGTGGTACTGGGGTTTGGACTCAGGGCCTGTATCTTGAGCCACTCCATTAGTTCTTTTTTTGTGCAATTGGTTTTTTGAGCTAGGGTCTTGCAAACTGTTTGCTGCGGCTGGCTTCAAACCGTGATCCTCCTGATCTCTGCCTCCTAAGTAGCTAGGATTATAGGCATGAGCTGTCGGCAGATGGCTCCAGCTTGCTTTTTAAAACTTACTTGGAGGGCTTAAGTGGTGGATCCTGGCTAGAATGTGTAAGGCACTGAGTTTAAACTGTAGTCCTGTCAAAAAAACCAAAACCAACTTATTTAGAAATTATTTTAATCATGTATTATTTTAATACATGCATAAGAAGGAGAAACTTAAGTGAAATTAATAGGATACGATCTCTACAACATCACATTCATAGCCTCCAGCCCCTCTGAGCCATTTTCTGACTCAGTTGTCAGAATGTAGGTCCTACTCAAAGGGTTCTCTTTAGCCAGTGTCTGGAATGCACCAGCTGCTGTGTCTGGGCTGCTGGTACTGGAGCTATGGCTTGCTCTATCTTAATAGCAGGGCTTACCAACCAACCTTTCACTTCTTTGATCATTAATTGGCTTGTTAGATGATTGGCAGTCTCCTGTGCCCCTTGGAATGACAAGCAAGTTGCCATGAGCTCAGGCAGAGAGTCAGTCCTGATGCTCAACAGACTGGGACCGTAAGACACTTCATCACAAGTGCATCCATGTGAACGATAGTAAATCTTATTATAGTGTAATTTGTAACCTATTGTATCACACTAACAGTACATTCTGATTGTGGTTGTATGCTAGTAAGTTGATTTATATCATTTTAAAATTGTTATTAAAAATAACAGCATAAAATTTTCCATCTTAACCATTGTTTTTGGTGGTACTGGGGTACCCTGAACTCAGGGTCTCACACTTGCTAGGCAGGTACTCTACTGCTTGAACCAGCCCTTTTTTTGTGTGTTGGGTATTTTTGAGATAGGGTCTCTTTTTTTTTTTTTTTTTTTTGGTGGACTGGGGTTTGAACTCACGTCCTATACCTTGAGCCACTCCACTAGCCCTTTTTTGTATGTGTGTGTGTGAAGAGTATTTTGAGATAGGGTCTCGTGGAACTGTTTGCTCAGGCTGGCTTTGAACTATGATCATCCTGATCTCTGCCTCCTGAGTAGTTAGGATTACAGGCGTGAGCAACTGGCACCTGGCTCACTAGCCCTTTTTTGTGATAGTTTTTTTTTGAGATAGGGTTTCACAAACTATTTGCTCAGGCTGGCCTCAAACCATGGTCCTCCTGATCTCTGCTTCCCCAAGTAGTTAGTCAAACCCCTGGCGCCTGACTGTCGTAACCATTTCTTAGTGTACAATTTGGTGGTATTAGGTGTTCTTTTTTGGTTCCTTCAATTTAAGTGTTCTATTAGTTTCTATTCCATACCAAGTTTTTTGTTTTATTACAGTTATTATGCATCAAGGATACCTCAGGTGTGAATGTAGTTCTTAAGATTTCAGTCACTGCTCAGTCTTGTAAACTGTTCATGTATTTGTAGATGGCCAGTGCTTTGTTGGATTTCTATGTTTGTAGATAAGTCAAGAAGTTTTCAGAAGCGGTTATTTTCATAGGAGAACTATAAAAACTCCTAGTGTGTATACTTCTGTATTTCCCAAGAGGGTAGATCACGATACATAACATCATGTTGTGAGTGATCATAATGGACAGTGCAGCTAAGCTGGGCACAGCGGCATGCACTTGTGATCGATGCTCCCTGAAAGGATCTCTTGAGCCTTGTGGTTTGAAGCCACCCTGGGAATCCCCAGAAAAACAGCTTCATCTCAGTCCTCATAATGTGTTAGGCACACTGCTCTGGTCGTGTGGTTGTGGGGAGTTAGCTGTATTTCACACTCATGAGGATTGGCCAGACCACAGCTGTCCCTTCCAGGACATTGCTTCTCACTCCACAAGTATGTGACCAATCACACAGGGAAAGCTCTTGGTAAAAAAATTCTCATTCTTGGCAATAGCTGGTAATGCTTTGTTCATAGAAAAATGTTACTCGTTTTTTAGAATAGGCGCAATACCACAATAAATTTTAATTTGTATCTAAGCTGTTTCAGAGAAAAGTCAAATATGCTATTTTTAGTTGTGCCTTCTCCCCTCCCAAGGTGTTGTACATGCTAGTCAAGCACTGTACTACTTGAGAAGCTTCCCAAGCCCTGTTGTGTATATTTTTGATTTTAAGACAGGATCTCTCTAACTTTGCCCATGCTGGCCTTGAACTCATGATCTTCTTGCCTCTGCCTTCCAAGTAACTGGGATTATAGGCACACCTGGTAAATTTGGGGATTTGGCTACTCTTTTTTTTTTTTTATTTTTTATTTTTTTGGTGGTACTGGGGTTTGAACTCAGGGATTTGTGTTTGCTAGGCAGGTGCTCTACCACTTGAGCCACTCCACCAACCCTTTTTTGTGCTGGGTATTTTTGAGACAGGGTTTAGCAGGCTGGCTTCAAACTGCGATCTTCCTGAGTAGGTAGGGTTATAGGCGTGAGCAACCAGCATCCGGCTTAGGCCACTCTTTAAATATTTTTCTATCCTGTCCTCACTGTTCTCCCTTAGGGTCATTTGTGATCATCCCATGGCTTCCTCAGGCTCTGTTAGTTTTTCTTTCAAATCCTGGTCTTCAGAATGTACAGTTTGTATTACCTGTCAAAAGACTTTTTCTGTCACCACTTAACTCAAGCTCCCCCTGTGATTGTAAGATCCTTGATGGCAGGAACTTTGTCTTTTTAAATTCATTTTTTTTTCTCAGCGCCCAGAATCTGGAGCCCAGCATGTATAACTGCTTAGTATTTGTTGAATAGGTGATTGAATATTCCTAGCATCTAGCAAAGTGCCTGGCACAGTGGACATTTCTTAGTAAATTACTGGCATCATTCCCTATTCCGTTTCTTTATGTGTTAAGTTTCATAATTGGAATTGGGTTTTCACAATTGATTTAAAAATAGAAATTAAACTTTATGCACATGACTGTAACTCTTGCTTGCTTCAAGCTCTTTAAATGTACCTACAGTTTTTGTTTTTGTTTTTGTTTTGGTGGAGTGGAGGTGGGTTTTGAACTCAGGGCTTTGCACTTGCAAAGCAGGCACTCTACCACTTGAGCCATACCTCCAGCCCATTTTGCTCTGGTTATTTTGGAGATGAGGGTCTCTTGAATTATCTGCCCAGACTGGCCGTAAGTTGAGATCCTTCTGATCTTAGCCTCCTATGTAGCTAGGATTACAGGCATGAGGCATCGATGCCTGACTCTGCTGACAGTTTTTTCTTTTGCACAAGACCTTTGCTTTTTGGGCTTCTTTTCTCATTTGAATTGGCCCTTGCATGAGCAGTGCACATTTCCTCAATGAGAGAAAATAATGAGGAATTTGGTGAATGAGGAACAGTGTCTAAACGTAGCTAGTATTGTTCTAGTTATGTCTGATGAATTGTGGTAGTGTAGCAGTACATAGATATTTTATTAAATCTCTGTTTGGGGCTTGTTGTAGGTTGCAAAGGAGTTTGGCTTCCAAAACAACGGCTTCTCAGTTTACATCAATAGAAACAAGACCGGAGAGATAACAGCATCACCCAGCAAATCCCTCCACTTGCTGAAAATCAAGTAAGTGCCCACCTAGGAGAACACAAGAAATGGGGAGGAGCCATGACCCCAGGGCCCTCCTGAGGCTGCCTGGGTTTATCCTGTTTCCTCTTCATGCCACCATACGCATTGTCCTGCTAACTGACCGCCATCTAAGTGGCTGAGCTGTCTGTTGTGGTTCAGCTGCTTGTGTAGATGGAAGAACCCGGAACACAGCTCTTTGTGAAGAAATCATGCCATGTTAGCCCTGGTGGCTGGAAAGACAGGACACAGTGTGATGATCCGTTGTCACTTCTTTGAGCGAGTCTGTCATGTCAGTGGAGCTTCTGCATAGAGACCACTTACCCATCACTCATGTTATTGGTACACAGTCATATTGTCTGGTCCATGGCTACTTTTATGTGGTACATGCAGAGTTGAGTGATTATGACAGATCATGTTGGTCTGTGGAGCTGAAAATATTTGTTCTTCATAGAACAGGTTTGCTGACTGCTGTCTAAACTGACTGGGCACCTGTGTACACATTACCAAGCAGAGCACTTGACATTTCTTTGGGCTAAGGGCTTCAGCTGTAATGTGGTTACTAGCTGTTGGTTTGGGATATTTTTACAGGTAGTTTGCTGAGTGTTTGTCTATTAGTCAGAACAGTAGGCTGTTTTGGCAGTTTGGTTCTTTTAGGTTCACAAATTAGGATATCTAGGGAAAAAATACATAGTGACAGCATTCATTTATTTGTTCTTCCACAAAGACTTACTGGGCACTTACTAATTACCTGCCCTTCATTGTTGTTTGTGACCATCTCTACAGTGGCTGAGGTCACCTTTCCTTTCAGCTTTTGGAGGGTTCTGGGGTTTTTTTGATCCTCGGAATAGAACCAAGGCCTTGTACTTACTAGGTAAGCACTCACCGCTTGCTGCATCCCCAGCCCATGTGTAGGACTCTTGCATCTTGAGCATCATTTATGAAGGGTCTCCTTGTCTTTTTTGGGGGGAGGGAAGGGGCTGGGGTTTGAACTCAGGGCTTCATGCTTGCACAGCAGAAGCTCAACCACTCAAGCCTCTCCAGCAGTCCTTGGGCATCACTTCTCATGAATGGTATTTGAGATTGGATTTATACTGCCATTCGCTGGCTGTGAGCCTTGGGTAGTTACTTCACCTCACTGGGCCTTGCCATCTTTGTCTATGAGGAATAGCAATGCCTCCTTCCCAGAGTGCACAACACAGCTCCTGCTTGTGGTGAGCGTGGTGGTTGAACTCAGAACTTTGTGCTTGCTAGGCAGGCACTTTACCACTTCAGCCACACCTATAGTCTTTTTTTTTTTTTTTTTTTTTTAAGTTTTAATTTTTTTTTTATTTAAGACAGTGCTCAAAAAAGGTTCCTTTATGCAGCCCAGACTAGCCTTATGATCCTCCTGCCTCTGCCTTCCAAGTGCTGGGATTACAGATGTCCACCACCATGCCCTGCTGGCTGGATTTGGGCTTTGTTTTTTTTTTTTTTTCTTTTTAAATTTTGGTGGTACTAGGATTGAAACTGAGGGCCTTGTGCTCTATCATAAGCCACACCCCCAGTCCTTTTAGGGTCTTGCACTTTTTTGTCTTGGCTTGCCTCATTACCATGATCCTACTTTCACCTCTTGAGTATCTGGGATTACAGTGTGCACTGCTGTGCCCAGCTTTTTTTTTTTTTTTTTTTTTTTTTTTGGTGCTGAGGATTGAACTCAGGGCCTTACACATGTTAGGCAAATGGTTTTTGTTTTGGGTTTTTTTCAAGATAGGGTATCTTGAACAGTTTGCCCGAGTTGACTTTGAACCACAATCCTCCTGATTGCTTCCTCCTGATTAGGTAGTATTACAAGCATGAGCCACCAGCTCTTCGTTCCACCTTGATTTTTGAGATAGCATTTTGTTAACTTTTTTGCCCAGGCTGGCCTTGAGCCACAATCCTCCTTTTTTACCGCTTAAGTAGCTGGGATTACAAGCATACACTACCATTCCCACTTGTTTTTAAAACTGTCCCAGGAATTGATACAAGAATGGGCAGTTAGCCAGGCATGGTAGCACATGTCTGAAATCACAGTACTTGGTAGACTGGGGCCGGAGGATTATGAGTTTGAGATCAGCCTGGGTGAACCACCTTTGAGACAAACCATGCTGGCTGGACTATTACAGTACCAGTAAGAGATCAGAGGGCAGTTAAAGTGCATGCATTTCGGTACTATCCAAGAGTGTATCTTTTAATGATAGCTATATTTATTTACTAAGGACAACAGAAATTTATTTTCTTACTGTTTTGGAGTCTGAAAGTCCAAGATCCATGTGCCATCAGGGTGGCTTATTACTTTTTTTCTTTTTTTTTTTTGGTGGTATTGGGGTTTGAATTCAGGGCCTTGGGCTTGTTAGGCAGGTGCTCTACCATTTGAGCCACATTACCAACCCTTTTTGTTTTAGGCATTTTTTTTTTATAGGGTCTTGCCCAGACCAGCCTGCACCACCATCTTCCTATTTATGCGTCTCATATATCTGGGACAACAGGCTTGTGCCAACATGCCCTGTTTCCAACCATGATCCTCCCAATCTCTGCTGTACCCAGCTCATAAAGGTGGTTTCTGTTGTAGTCTCTGGTCCTGCCTCATGGAGGGCTCCCTTCTCACTGTGACTTCCCATGCTTCTTTGTGTGTGTGTGTGTGTGTGTGTGTGTGTGTAGAGTATTTCATAATACTGACCAACATGGATATAGACTTGAGTACTGATGGAGAATTACCTGAAATTTGTCTTTATTTCATCCACGTTTTCAAGAGTGTTACTTTCTTGAAGCTCTGTATAGATCTTACTCTCCTGTCTCTGATTCCATCATTGCTGCTCAGCAGTCTGTTGTAATTCTATCATTCTTGTGTGGCTGGTAACATATTATTTTTCCCCTGGCAAGTTTTAAGATCTGTTTGGGGTTGGGGTTGTGACTGAGTGGCACAGTGCTTGCCTATCATGAATGAGGTCTCAGGTTTTGTCCTTGGCACCAAAAAACTTGCCTTAAACAGAAGATACCTTTGTCTTGAGGCCATTTGTTTCTGTTTGATTTGAGTGGGTATACATTTGATGTTAATTGTGCTTTCTATATCCACATTCTGAACAACACATGTGCTTATCACTTCCATTATCACTAAATATCATCTCGCCCCATTCTCTTTGTTATTTCAACAGTTATTTTTTTACTTTTAAATATTTTATTTGATTACTTTTCAAATCTGACCAGTTAAGAAAAGTTAACTATATTCTATATTATAGAATTTAAAAATTGTAGTTGATACATAATTATAAATTATAATTTAAAAATTATACAATTTAAAAATTGTAGTTGATACATAAAAATTGTGCATATTTATAGTGTGTCTCAATGGTAGAGGCTTGATTAACCTCCTCCCATGTGAGGACTTGGGTTTCCATCCCAGCAACACCACCAAAAAAAAATTGTACATATTTGTCAGATGTGGTGGTTTGGTGTAGGTATACTGTGTTAGTTAGCTTTTAGGCATTGTGATAAAATACCTGAGAAATAAACTTAAAGGAGGAAAGATTTATTTTGGTTCATGGTCTCAGATGTTTCAGTCTATCCTCACTTGTCCCCATTGCTTCAGAACCTGTAGTAAGGCAGACTGTATCTCTTGGCAAACAGGAGGCACAGCGAGAGAAGGTCTGGGGACAAGATGAAGCACCAAAAGGTACACTCCCAAGGACCCACTCTCTTTAGCTGTGTCAAACCTCCTAAGTTTCCATTGCCTCCTGATAGCCCATAAAATTACAAACCCATCAATAGATTAATGCATTGATGAGGTTAGAGTCCTCATGATCCAACCCCTTCCCCAACGTCCCATCTCTGAACATTGCTGCATTGGAGACCAAGCCTTCAATAGATGATCTTTTGGGGAACATTTCATATCCAAACCATAACATATACATTGTCTGATACTCAAATCTGGGTAAGCATATCTGTCTCCTCAAACATTGATTGTTTCTTTATGATAGCATCTAGGATACTTTCTTCTCACTTTTTGAAATACTCAGTAATTATGGCTATCTGTAGTCATCCTACTATGCAATAGTACTCAGAACTTCTTGCTGCTGTATAACTGTAAGTTAGTACCCATTGACCATCTCCCTCCCCTCTACTCTCCTGAGTCTGGTAACCGCTGTTCTACTCCCAGCATCTGTGATGTCAGCTTTTTAAAATTTGGAACATTTTAAACATGTTTCATCCCCTCCCACTTTTTACTATTAAATGAAACATATACTGAAACCTGAGATTACTTGTGTGTTTTGATGGGTTTTCCTTTTTTTTTAATCTCAGGACCTTGAGCTTTCTAGGCAGGTGCTGTACCTCTTAAGCCATGATGCCAGCCCTGGTTTCTTTCTCATGTGCATCATTGTAAGCAGGTGAAATGAAGTGTTGCCAGCTACCTCAGGGATGCTCCCTAAAGGGGCCACTGGTGTGGCCTCTGTAGTAATCATGTCTGTACATTTCCTTGTCCTTTTCCTGAGTGTCTGTTTCTGCATATTATGGTTTAGTCTTGAGTTTAAATCTGAAGGTTGGTGTGGTGGCACATACCTGTAATCCCAGCACTGGGGAGGCTGAGGCAGTAGGATCACGAGTGTGAGGACAGCCTGAGCGACACAGAGAGACCCTGTCTAAAAAAAGTATGTATCTTACATCATTTAGCTTCCCCTTCCATCCCTTTCCATTTTTTAAGATTGATCTGATGAGGGCTGGAGGTGTGGCTTAAGTGGTAGAGCACCTGCCTAGCAAGAGGAAAGAAAAAAATAGATTTGTCTGATGATGACTTTGGACCACCTCCTGGGTTTTGCTGTTTGACTGCCCTCTGGTGAACTCAGGCCAGGCCCTCAGCAGGACCACTGTGTGCTGTGTTCTTTATTAGGAGCCACAGGGTATCTGCTTTTTACTTTTTAGGTTATTGTTAGATTTCCCAGGCCTCAAACTCACGGTCTCAAGTTGTTGTCCTACCTTAGCCTCTTGAGAATTGAGACTGGAGGATTATAGGTGTGCATCAGTGTCCCCAGCCATCTTTCACTTTTAAATATTCTTTAATTTCCTTTTGAATCTGGCTGTTGGCTTCTAGCACTCACAGGGTCTATGCTGTTTCCAGTTCAGTCTCAGCTCTGCTTGTAACAGTGTGGGTTTTTTTTTTTTTTTTTTTTTTGGTGGGTCTGGGGTTTGAACTTAGCACCTGGCTAACAGTTTGCTTCTGTGTGTCATAATGCCAGCACTAGAGTCCTGGGTACTGTGTCTTCATCTCAGTGTTTGTTGTTTCTGTCCACCCTTGCTCTCATTGTTTTGTTTCCTTTTTTCATTCTTAGAGGTTCTATTTGACCAAACTCAATTTTGGGAAGTCCCAAGGACCTAGGTTTAGTGGCTTTTCTATAAAAAAAAAAAAAAAAAACATGTGGCACAGGGAAGTGCTATGGAGCTAGGACTCCTCTGAGTTCATTTTGTCTTTGTACTTCCTGATCCCAGTAGCATCTGGGTTCCACTCCTGTGTTGGGCAGGAAGACTCATGGCCTCATCTTCTTACTGCCCCATGGATGACTGGAAGCCCAAAGCTCTAAGTTCCTGATCATAGCCTTGTCCATGGGCAGCTCTGAGCTGTTCTTTTTATTGATGGTACGGCTGGTTGTTGGACCCTCAGTTTTCATTTACTTTCTTTAGAGGTCAGCAGTGTTTTTAGAGAATATTTGATATTTGTTAAAATTGATCCAGAGGCTGAGCCAAGTATTTTATAGCTGGAGGGTGTTTAAGAATATGTAATCCACTGCTAGAAACAGAAGTCTCTGATTACAGTTTGACAGTTTTATCACCCCTGAATTATGGAGGAAAAAGGAGGCAAGAGCAGATCTGTTGAAGAGCTGTCACCATGCTCCTTGAAGTTCACGTGTCCTTGCAGTGTTTGCAATTCTGTGTCTGCATTTTGGTTTGCTGTCAGTGCTGGGGCCAGCTGTTCTTTCAGATTTCTTTCCTGTATGTGTATATTGTTGATGGCAGCTAAATATTTGTCAGACGGTTTGCTGCAGTCTTTCCATCAAGGCTGACACTGAATTAGTGCTGTGAGCCCCCTCTGGGCATGTATGATCCACAGTACTTCTGTGGATGGCTCTCATCCACACCATTGTGGATTATCCATCCCATTCAGGTCCCACTGCTCACCATGTGTCTGGCCATTTACACAGAAAGTTACATCACACCAAGCATTCCCATTGGAAATGAGACTTGTGGTAGCCTTTTTGGAAAGCAGTAAGTTGGCAGCCTGAGAAACAGACATAAAAGGGCCGAAAGGAGTAACAGTGCATAGTATCTAGAGTGTTTGTGGGTGTTCTTCATGGTGGCAGAAACCAGAAGTCAGCACATGTGCCCCTCTTTATATGATAAAGCTGTCCCCCTGGTGTGGCCCTCATACCTATTATCTCAACACTTGGGAGGGTGAGGCAGGAGGATAAAGTTTGAAGCCAGCCTGTACTATATAGGGAGACCCTGCATCAAAAACAAAACAAGCCTTGTGTTGTGACTCATACCTGTAATCCTAGCTACTTGGCAGGTAGAAATCAGGAGGATTAAGGTGCCAGGCCAGCCCAAGCAAAAAAGTTAGTGAGACCTCATCTCAACCAATAAAAAATTGGGCATGGTGGTGTGTCTCATCCCAGCTACTTGGGGAAGCGCAAAAAGGAGGATCACTCAGGCATAAACTCGAGACCCTATTTGAAAAATACCTAAAACAAAAAGGGATAGTGGTGTAGCTCAAATGATGGAGTGTTTGCCTAGCAAGCTCAATGCCCTGAGCTCAAACCCCAGGACTGCCAAAACAAAAAAACAAGTAATTATACCTGGAGAATTGAATATGGTAGTTTTCGTGAGGGGTTGTTAGATGACAAGAACAAGATATGAAGTGATGCTTTTGGAAAGCAGTGATCATCCTGTCTGCCTCTGTGTACCTGTGTGAACTGGATTGGTCAGGGTATGCATGAGCTAGACAGAGGGCTAAGGAGGGGGAATCGGCAGTTGGGACCCCACGAGGCTTGGTGAGCACTGGCAGTCTGTAAAGGCAGGCAGGCATATAGATGTGTATCACAGCCTCGAAACAAGGCTGTGAGAGAAATAAAATTACAGAGCCTGCCAAGAAATGAGGATTCTTTTAAAAGTGGAGACTTTGATACATAGAACTTCAGGATGGTAGCATTGCCTTTTGCCACCGTCAGAGTTGTTCACATATCTAGCTTGATCTGTGCAGTTTGTGGCAGATGAGAGGACCGTGTTGATGCTTTGTTCTTTGAACAGGCATGGCGATTTGCTGTTCCTTTTTCCCTCGACTCTTGCTGGACCCTCATCTGAGATGGAGACATCGACCCCATCGGGGTTAAAGGCCTTTGGTGCTCCCAACGTGGTGGAAGATGAGATTGATCAGTATCTCAGCAAGCAGGATGGGAAGATTTATAGGAGCCGAGACCCACAGCTGTAAGTGCACCATGGGCTATGTTTTGTTTTGTTTTGTTTTCCTGTAACAGGGTTTTGATTCATTCTAGGCTGACTTCAAACTCCAGAACCTCCTCCTTCACCATCTTGAGTTTTGGGATTACAAGCTGTGCCATGATGTCCAGCTTTAAAATGTGAAGATTTTATTATTATTATTATTTTTTGAGTACTGGGGTTTGAACTCAGGGCCCTATGCTTGCTAGGTAAGCATTCTACCTCATGATCCACTCTACCAGCCAACAGGGTTTATGAAGACTTCATTTCCACCTCTGTCTTCTGTATCCAGGACCTCAGACATGCTAGACAAGCACTGTACCACTCAGACTGCTTATGGTGATCTAAATGGGTCATTAAAGGAACTATTTAAATGTGTTTCATGTTAATTATCTGATGACACGGAAGTTTTGCGATTGTCCATATATTTTCCTATTAGATTTCACTTCATGTTATTAGCTTTTTATTAGTTGGAACTTTAACATCCATTCCACATAAAATGTCTTAGATATTCTACATAAAATATTGGGGGCTATTAAGAGATTTGAAGGTGTCAGGGACAGGTAGAGGCCTCAAACCAAGTGTCTTCCCTGATGTCCCCTGAGATAGGGTACCCTACCCTGCAACCCTGCCTTGCCAGCCCCCACTGAGGCAGAGATGGGAGCAGTTAAAGGGGCCGAGTGTTTGCCAGTGCAAGCGCTTGTTTCAGCCTCTCACTTAGTAATTATGGGATGACCTTGGCGTTGTGTACTAGTGTGCTTTCTAGTTCTGTAGTGAATATTTCGTTTGTGGAAGATTCTGCTCTTTTGAATATTAACATTCCACTAGGGTTATGTGTGGGTGTCTATTTTGGAATATTTTGCAGTTCTTTTTAAGGGAATCAGAAGCATCTGAATTTATACTCAGTGATGCAAAATTATCGGAGTGAAGGCCATTTGCCTTTGCAGTGGACTGTTTTTTTTTTAATTCTATAAATGTGACTGGGTGCTAACATTGAGATATTGGGATTCCAAATGCTGTATTAGCAATTTCTGTCTCTTAGATGAAAGTGCCGCAGATGTTGCTCAGCTGCAGTTGGTGTGGAGCCACTTGGTGGCCATACCCGTTAGCTGAGACTCCTCTTCCATTTGTAGCTCCTCTCAGGGACTCAGCCATCCATTCCCTTGCCAGTATCTAGGCCCTTGTGGTTTCATTAACAATCTTTTAAAGCATATGTGTGCAGCTGTGTATTAATTCTGACCTGTCATCAGGAAGAGCCTACCTCTTACTGATATAGGAAGCAGAGTCCATCTCTGTTCTGAAACAGAAAACTCACATACATCCAAGAATTCTGACCCCATTTAGAGTGGGATCTGATTGAGAGGAACTGCAGTTTGACATTCCCACCAGCTCTACCACTGTCCTCAAAATAAACATATCTGTCTGTTGTACTATGTATGTTAAGCTTCCAGTGTCTGTGACTGAAAATGTCCAGAACCCCTAGAGCCAACATCCTTCATGAATGTTTCTATAGTGTTCATGAAGTGGGTGTTTTCCAAATGTGAGTTGTTCATGAATCACTCTCAGGATTTTTGCCATACCTATGTGTGACTGGCTTTCTTATTAACATTTTTATTTATTTAAAATGACTTGAAACCCATTTGCTTTTTTGTGTGCTTGTGTACTGGAGATTGAACCCAGAGCCTGATGCATGCTAAGCATTGCTTTTAGTATCCTTTTAAACAATTAATAACCTTGAAAAATTAAGCTGAGCATGGTGGCACATGCTTGTTATCCCAGGACTGGGGGGCTGAGGCAGCAGGATTGAAAGTTTGAGGCAGCCTTGGCTACATTTCAAGTTCAGGACAGCCTGGACTACATAGGGAGGCCCTGTCTGAAGGGTGGGAAAAAAAGTGTGTATATGTGGACATACGTGAAATCACAGGTTTGATGTGTTGTCAGTCTTTTCCCTTTCTAAAAATTGTTTAATTTATTTTTGTTGGGACTGGGGTTTATACTTAGAGCTTCACGTTTGCAAGGCAGGTGCTCTAAAATGCTTGAGCCACATCTCGAGTCCATTTTACTCTGGTTATTTTGGATTTGGAGGGGTCTTAATAAACTATTTGCCCGGGCTGGCCATAAACTGAGATTTTCCTTATCTCTGCCTCCCAACTAGTGTGAGCCACTGGTACCTGGCTAATTTTTAAAATTTTTGATTTATCATAGTTAATAATATGAGATTTCATTGTGATAATTCCATACCTGCATACAGTGTACCTTGAACAAGTGCTCAATTTTTTTCTCGTATACATCAGAATAAATACTAAACTAAATTCTAACATTTAGAATAATTCCTCATAAGTAGTGAAACTTTATTAAAGTATGATGTACATTTGAAATATGAAAATGTTGGGAGGCAGCAACAGAAAAATAACCTGTAGTTTGTTATGCTTCTCTTCTGGTCTGTGTTCTCTCCAGGTGCCGCCACGGCCCCTTGGGAAAGTGTGTGCATTGTGTCCCACTGGAGGTGAGTCTGCAGAAGGATCCCTGACCACCTGGAATAGTTGGCTGCTGATGACAGAGCTGTTGGAGCACTTTCTGAGTCCCTACACTTGGGGCTGTGGCATAGACAACTTATCTATTCCTTACTCAGGGCCTTGCATTCCAAGTGCAAGCAGCACAGAGAGGCTGATTCTTTATTTATGGGAGTGGCCTTCTGGGTGGATTATGAATGGCTCAAGCCTTTGTGTGGCTGTGATGGAGGAGCAGCATGGAGAGTGGGCTCTCTGGACAATTGTTTTAAAACACAGAGCTGGGCCTTTCAATTTGTGCTTGTCATTGTTTTGATTTACTTTGCCCTTCTGGTTTGTCCTGGCAAGATTGGAGAGTTACCATAATAATGCTGACTGGTAACAGGATTGGCAGTAAGGCCAACCTGATTTCTTCATGAAGCCCTTCTGGCTTCATCTCCTGGCTATTGTTTCTTTTTCTTTTTTCTTTTTTTTTTTTTTTACAATGCTGAGATTAAACTCAAGGCTTCACACTTATTAGGCAAGCATCCTATCACTGAGCTATCTCCCTAGCCTCCTTGTGGCTTTTCTTTTTGCAGGGGTTTTCCAGAACTTATTTAGCTTAAAAGCATTTTGTATTTAATAGGGGTTTATTTTAGTTTATTATTTTTGGGGGAGGGGGTGTTAGTAGGGCTTGAACTCAGGGCTTCATGTTTTCTAGGCAGGTGTTCAACCTCTTGAGCCATGCCTCCAGCCCTAATAGCGTTTTATTTTAGTCTTGAAAGGATAATTTGCTCCCAGAGAAAAAACCTTGATTCTGACCTTGAACTAGTGAGAACTCAGCTCTGTCTCCCTCACTGTCCCTGTGAGCCCTGGTCTGCTCCTCTTTGTGGTAGGATTCCTGTGCCTCATGTACCCTGGCAGGCCTATAACTATTCATTTGCCATGTGTGTTTTGGCAGCCATTCGACGAGGACTACCTGAACCACTTGGAGCCTCCAGTGAAGCACATGTCCTTTCATGCCTATATCCGGAAGCTGACTGGAGGCGCTGACAAGTAAGCAGCCCTTGTAGTCTTGGTTCACATAAAGTCCCTTTTACATCTCTGGCAGTTAGCACTTATGGGCATTGGGCACAGGAATGGGAAAGTGAAGATCATAGCAAGGTACAAAGCTTAGACTCATGCATCCTAACAGTTCTAGAAATAGGTGGGGAGGGTCTGGCAGACACTCTGCTGCACAGTCAGAGTACTCAGAGCATTAGGCAGACTTCCAGCTGGTGGTGGACACTGCTACTGGCCTTGCCTCCTGTACAGTACCCTGGGAGTTAATATATGTGGTGGTGGCCTGTTATATCTGTGAGTCTGAGCTCATTCTCTGATTTTCAGAAAGACACATGCCCCAAAATAATCTCAACTCACTCATTTCAGCCCTTTTACCAAGGATCTGCCTCTGTCAGCCTTCCTTTCATAGCCACAGCAGGGGCTAGAGATGCATCGCTGTCTGTGGCTTGCACTCTGGTACTACAGTGGTAGTGGTCCATAGACTTGGCCAGGTGGGCAGTACAAGCAACCTTCTCTCAGAGTTTCTCTTTTTTTTTTTTTTTTATAATACTGGGGTTTGAACTCCAGGCTTTACACTTGGTGGGCAGGCACTGTACCACTTAAGCCATCCCTCTTAGCCCTCTTCTCTCAGCTTCTGAGTGTGGGTGGTAATAGCGGCCAAAAGAGGGTATTTTTTTGTTTTGTTTTTCAGTACTGGGGTTTGAACTCAGGACCTCATGCTTGCTAGGCAGGCACTTTACCACTTGAGCCATTCTGCAAGACCCTGTTTTTGAGACTGTCCCCATAAGGACCTCTGACTGGCCTGGAACTTGCTATCCTCCTGCGTCACCTCCCTAGTCCTGGTATTACAGGCATGCACCACCATACCTGGCTGCATTTAATTTCTTTTAACCCATGTTGCATTCTTGTCTATGTGGCTTCTCTGTATGTTTTTTGTATATAACTTACCAGAGAGGAATGGATCGCAACTATAGTTTTGTAATTCCTATCAGTGTGACAAGGGGAGATGGCATTGAATCGGAGTCAGCAACTTTTTGTGAAGGATTTCATGCTTGCCTGATTGTAGCTTTTCTCTAACAACCTGCTGACATCCTCAAATGGCTTTTTTAAAATGTCAGATCAGGAAAAAAAATCCCACCAGAAACCCACTGGTGTCTGTCAGTGGGGATAGCTATGGGGCCCTCTGGTCTCGGGCAGGTTGAGATTTACTGTGTGAGAGGAGCCAGGCCGGTCTTACCAGTCTAGGTCAAGGAATGCTGCCTCCTTGGGCATGTCTGTGGGTGTCGCTGCCATGTAGGCCTGAGGACAGGGCCTTTGCCTCTCAGGTGCTGAGATGCCAGTATCCCCTTAACTCGCACAAAAGAATGGTAAGTATAGGGACTCACTGCAGTGTTAACTACTGCATGTTCCACCGCATAATGTATGTACACTGTGAGACATCTGAACACCAAAAGTGTATGTGATTTTGATTCTCAAAATAAGACATCAAATACATGCAGTTTTGTCATTTGTATCTCAATAAAGCTGAACGAAAAAAAAAAAAAGAAAAATGGAATTATTAGACCATTCCAGAGTGAGAAAAACTGACACCACTGTACACGCTCCCCTAAGTTCAGAGCCTGGTCCAGGGTTTCTCATTGACAGTCTGCACGAAATGGTTTTTACTTTAGCTAAAAGCTGAGTGAAAATTTCACTGTTCTGTATCCTAATAGGTTTTCCCTATAAATAAGAATATTTTACAGATGTCTAAGTATTGGGCTAATAATGTCATAGTTACCGATAAATTGATGAAATTTCCTGTTTGTTTTTTTTGTTGTTGTTGTTGGAACTGGGACTTGAACTCAGGACTTTGTGCTTGCAAAGCAGGCACTCTACCACTTGAGCCACACCTCTAGTCCATTTTGATCTGGTTATTTTGGAGAGGTGATCTTGCATCTATTTGCCCAGGCTGGACTTAAACCATGATCCTCCCAATCTCAGCCTCTCAGGTAGCTAAGATTATAGGTCTGAGCCACCGGCATCTGGTGAAACTTTCCCTTAATGGCACAAGTTAGATCAGTAGATACCGGACAGTTCTTGAAAACCATCATGGGTTTTTTTTTTTGTGTGAATGTTTTTTATTGGGGTTTGGGGCATGGGAAATGTAAGCTCCCTCCAGGGAAATGTCCTAATCTTCCTGGGGTATTTTTTGGAACTTTTTCTTTTTCTTGGTGCTGCTCTTGCTGCTAGCAGCCTCTTCAGGCCCACTGCTGACAGGCTTCTCCTTGGAAGAGAATTTTCTGTTTTTCTTGTGGACACTCCTGCTGGCTGCCTCCTCAGGTTCACTAGCTGTCTCCTCCTTAAGTAAAAGCGGTATTTCTATAGGAGGAAAGCTGTGTGTCCCAGTGCAGGACAGAAGCTGGACTACAGAACATGCCAGGACTTTAGAAAACTTCCACTAGAGTGGTTTTAGCACATTGTCCTGTGACTTGGCCCCTTAGATCGCTGGCGGGATGGAGGTGTAAACTGTTCCAGCCACACCATTCCAGCCTCTGACCAGCCTCCTCACTGTTCTCACAATTGACCCAGTTGTGTCTCTCCTCTGGCAGGGGAAAGTTTGTTGCCCTGGAGAACATCAGCTGCAAGATTAAGTCAGGGTGCGAGGGACACCTCCCATGGCCCAATGGTATCTGCACCAAGTGCCAGCCCAGCGCCATCACGCTGAACAGACAGGTGAGATGCCTTGGTCTCGCTGACATTTGTTTTTATGGCTGAGAAGTGGATGCTGCCTTGGAGAGGAATTACCACCAGTAGAGTGTGCAGATTCTCAGGGGTTCTTTCTTTTTTGAGGTAGGGTCTCACTGTGTAGTCCAGGTGGTTTCAAACTCATGATTTTGCTTCTGCTTCTCAAGTGCTGAGATTATAGCACTTATAGGTGTGCATCACCATGCCTGGCTTTTCTTGGGTGTTTTTGTTTGTTTGTTTGTTTCTTTCTTTTATTTTGTTTGCTATACTGGGGGTTGGACTCAGGGCCTCATGCCTGTTAGGCTGGCGCTCTACCACTTGAGTCACACGGCCAGCCTTGCTTTTGTTTGTTGGGTATTTTTAAGATAAGTTCTCTCTAACTGTTTACCTGGACTGACTTTAACCCACAGTCCTCCTGATCGCAGCTTCCTGAATAGCTAGGATTATAGGTGTGAGCCACTAGCGCCTGGAGTGTTTTTCTTTTCCCTCCCCTCCGCTCCCCTCCTCTCCCTTCCCCTCCCCTTTCTTTCTTTCCTCTTTCTCTCTCTCTCGCTCTCTTTTTTTTTTTTAAATTCATCCATCAACTCTTTTTTGGCAGTTATAAAATGAAGACAATAATTCTTAAAATTTCTATCTTTTGCAGGTGTTGAGCTGGAGCTTTTGTTCTGCATTCTTCACCTCCTGTGGAGGTGAAAGAATTTTTTAAATGCTTTGTGGTTGTGCTGGCTGCTGGTAGCTCACGCCTATAATCCTAGCTACTCAGGAGGCAGAGATTAGGAGGATTGCAGTTCGAAGCCATCCTGGGCAAATAGTTCATGAGACCCTGTCTTGAAAATACCCATCACAAAAAGGCTGGTGGAGTGGCTCAAGGTGAAACCTCTGAGTTCAAGCCCCAGTACTGCAAAAAAAAAAAAAAAAAAAAAAAGTTGCTCTGTGGTGTGACTTTGGCTTTTAAATAGCTTCTATGGAGGCTGATAATGGAGCCTTTGTAGGGTCTACTCTGGATGCCTGTCCAGGTTTAAGAGAGGTGGCTTAGGAGGAAGGTGTTCTGGCTGGGCTTTCCTGCTTGTCACTGGGCCATGAGAGTGCCCACCACATCTTTCCTGTGCCATTGCCTGCCACATCTAGCTCCTTAAGACAGTGCCATGGCCATCTGACTTCTTTAGAAACCAACTTCCTTTCCTCCATTCCTTTGCTCTTTCTACAAAACTACTTTATTTTTTTTAAACCATAGGAATTGTGAAAATCTGCATTTTAGGTTAAAATCACAGTGAGATTAGTTTTTCTTTATTGATTGATGAACCCCCCCCACCCCCACACAAATTCTCCACTAGACTCTGAAGGGCAAAGCAGATTTTTAAAACTTAGGTTTTGTTTGTTGCTGGGGATCTAACCTAGGGCCTCTCTCATGATAGATAAGTGCTCTACCATTGAACTACTCCCCTTTCTGGGATTTTTTTTTTTTGGTAATGGGATTTGAACTCAGGGCCTCACATTTGCTAGGCAGGTGCTCTACCACTTGAGCCACTACACCACTCCTTTTTTATGTTGGGTATTTTCAAGATAGGATCTTGTGAACTATTTGCCAGGCTGGCTTCAAACTTCAGTCTTCCACATCTCTACCTTCTGAGTAGCTAGGATTACAGAAGTGAGCTTCTGGTGCCTGGCGTAGTTTGGTTTTTAAAGAACTAGATATGGCTGAGTTCAATTTCCAGTAATGGGGTGGGGGGAGGGGAGAAGGGAAGAAACAATGAAAGAATCAGATAAGAGATATTTTGGCATGGTTTGTCCTAGAACAATTAATTAGTTTGTTTTGATGGAATGTTTTCATTTAGCCCACTTTTGTTAACTCTACAGAAGTACAGACATGTGGACAATATCATGTTTGAGAATCACACTGTTGCTGATCGCTTCCTTGACTTCTGGAGAAAGACAGGGAACCAGCATTTTGGGTACTTATATGGACGGTACACAGAGCACAAGGACATTCCTCTTGGTATCAGGGCCGAAGTGGCTGCGATTTATGAACCTCCTCAGGTATGTGAAGGCAGGATTTCCATTTATGGATGTTTGTATTTTGTTGTTTCGAAAGGCTGTGTGCAAAGCCCTTTTCAGATTGTCCCGCTTCCTTTGTCATTCATTTGTGCATCTTCTCTCTTGCTGTACATGCATACGTGCCATGAGTTTGCACATACACAGTATTTATTTTCTGAATTATTGGAGAGTTAGATCACGGCCCCTATACTGCATCGTTCTGTTGTCTAAGAATGGGATATTCTCTGACATAACTAGTACATTTAGTAATTTAAGTACATTGGACAAATATCAATACAGCATACTTGTCTAGACTGTCATCTGAGTTGCTCTTGCCAGCACTGCTCTCCTCCCTAGTTCTGCATTGTCCACCCAGCAGCCATCCTAGGAGTGATGGGACTCCTAGGATATGAGTCCTGAAGATTGTGTCTGGAATCTCAGAATAGGGCCAGGCACAGTCACTCACACCTGTAATGTAATCTCAGCTACTTGGGAGGTGGAGATAAGGAGGCTCTCTGTTCCTAGGCAAAAACTTCTCAGCAAAGAAGCTGGGTATGGTGATACACCTCTGTAATCTCAGTATTTGGGAGACAGAGGCAGGAGGATTTTGAGTTTGAGGCCAGCCTGGACTGTTGAGTGAGACCCTGTCTTGAAAAAAAAAAAAACAAAAGGTAGGAAGAAAAATATAAGGAAGGGCGGGAAGAGGGAAGAAAGGAAATACATAATTGGAACAGAAATTTCTGGCATCCTGACTACCATTGGCATAACCAGAGCTCCAAGTTTGGGGGAGAAGGGTACTGTAGGTCGAAACATTGATCACTAATGACCTCCTGCAAGCACCTTTCCTCAGATTTGGGTGGAGTTGGAGATTTGGGATTTGACCTGTCCCCTGGAGGTGTCCTCCACATGGGTGACAACCAGCAAACGCAAAGTTCTTTGCTCTTTTGTCAGAATTTGACTAATTTACAAGGATACACCCCATTAATATGACTTAATTTGCCTTTGCTTTCTTATCCCTATGACTGGAGATTCTGCTTGGAGTAGTACTTACTCATGACTCATGAACTACACTTAAATGGAGATTAAGGATCTTATTATCCAATCCAGGAAGGTGGTGTCCTGTGGTCAGTTTAAGTTGCATATGCGCCAGCCACAGCCAGAGCTCATCAAATGCCAGGCGAAGCACTGTGCCTCCTGACAAGCAGGTTCCAAGTGGAGACGCCTATTTTCTTTGCTCTAAGTTGGACTGTGGCTCAGTGTTTTGGCTGTGGAGCTGAACATCATTCCTGTATCAGCAGCACACAAGTGTTCCAAAGTGGCTCTGGGATGAACGCCACCTTGCAGCTGCAGTCTGCCTATCAGCCACAGTCTGGAGTAGAACCACTCATCCAAGGGAGTATTGAAATAGCTTCATTCCCCAGTGAAGGCACCTTTCCTTTGTTCTGAACAACCACTTTCTCACAGCTGTGTCATAGCCATTCTGAAGGCTTGTTCATGTTCAGCACATTGCATCCAGGGAAAAAAAGGTTAGAAGGGACATAGGCTGTGTTTAGGCAGTGGCCATAAACCTCCTCTCCAGTGGGGAGGAAGCCAGCAGGCCTGTGACCCTGACATGCAGATGAGTGGAGTGGAGGCCTGGCTCTTCCCAGCCCTGACCTCTGACTCTGCCTTCTCCCTTTGATACCCAACAGATTGGCACACAGAACAGCCTGGAGCTTCTTGAAGATCCCAAAGCCGAGGTGGTTGATGAGATTGCTGCCAAGCTTGGCCTGAGGAAGGTACAGGGCTGTCTGCCAGCCAGGCCTTTGAGGGGACCCAGGTCCTGTGCCCAGGACCTTGGGTGGGAGGGAAGTGACTGGAACCAACTCCCCAGCTGTGTAAGGTCAGGTGCAGGCTTTTCTCCTTTGGAACCTCACATGTGTTCATTGAATGCTGATAGCTTTTATTATTCTTTGACTTAGAATGAGGTGGAAACATTTCCTTAAGTGTCAATACACAGCCAACTATTGTAATACATGCCTGCACTCCCAGTTCTTGGGAGGCTAAGGCAGGAGGATGGAGGCCAGAAGTTTGAGGCCAGTCTGCACCTATACATAGTGAGACCCTGTCTCTTAAAACCAAAACAAACAAACAAAAAAATATAAATACATGATCCCAGACAAGTAGTCATCACTTTTCTACTAGTCAGACACAGTTCCTAAGGACAGTGGGTGCAGTGCAAAAGCAGCTCTGTGGGAGCACTCACCTCTTACCTTGCTTCATCTTCTGTCATGTGTGTTCCCTTGTCCACCATTATCAGATTTCCTGTTTATTACTTAGGCATCTGAGCCTGGGACCCTCTTGGTTTATGGAACAGTTAGAAGATGGGAGGAGAATTTCTTTTCAGAGTCCATTGACTGGTTCATTTCACACCCTTGATAAAGTTCCCAGAAGAAAAAAAGGTCACTTTTTTTCTTTTTTTGGGACAAGATCTTGCTATGTAGCTCAGGCTACATACTCATGATCTTCTGCCTCAGACTCCCTGGTGCTGGGATTGCAAGCGTGCACCGCCATGCCTGGCTACATGGGAAATTTCTTAGTGCTTGTTATTCATTTGTCTTCATCTTTAAAGCATAAGCTCCCTTTTGCCGTATGCTGTTGGTCTGAGCAGAATTCTTTGTAATGAATAAGTGAGTCTGCATTTCCCCAGCCCCACAGCACCAGATGCAGATTTCTGCCAAGTTGGGTTCAAAGCCCTAGAACAACTAATAGCAGCTCTCAGCTCCACAGACTTCCATGAAGAACAGGCTCTGCAGGACACTGTTCTTACTCAGGCTCCCTGCACAGAAGCCAGGATCATTTATCATCTGTTTTAGAAAGGTATTCAAAAGATGCTTCCTTTTTCATTAAGGTTGGCTGGATATTCACAGACCTCGTCTCCGAAGACACCCGAAAGGGTACAGTTCGATACAGTCGAAATAAGGTGAGATGGAGCCTGATTCAGACAGTGCTTGGGGTCTCTGCACAGCTTGCAAATTATTTTCAAGACAGTTTTCTTGAAATTTAGGCTTGGTCTATATTCTGTCTCCCCTGCTTATCTGTACAGACCTGTAGGGGTGGGTTTCCCAGGGCTTCCAGCCTTTCTAGTTTGAGTGGTTTTAGATGAGGAGTCCATGATGGTTAGGAATTGCAGGTATTTGTTTCAGTGTGGTTTTTGAGATGTTATAGTTTAGCTCTCACTATTTTTTTAAAGATGGAGTAGAAGTCTATTTTGAATGGTACTATAAAGTTTGGTGTGCCACTTTTCTTGTCTTAGGACACCTATTTCCTGAGTTCAGAAGAATGCATCACTGCAGGAGACTTTCAAAACAAGCACCCCAACATCTGCCGGCTCTCTCCTGATGGGCATTTTGGTTCCAAGTTTGTTACTGCAGTGGCCACAGGTATAAGTGGATACAGTAATGTCTTAAAGTACTGCTGCCCTGTTCATGTTTTACTATTCCTTTCAGCAACTTTTTTGGTGGTGTTCTGAGGTTTGAACGCAGTTAAGCAAGTGCTCTACCACTTGAGTCACATCCCCAGCCCTTTTTTGCTTCAGTTAGTTTTACAGATAGGGTTTTGCCTGAGGCTGGCTTCAGATCACAATCCTATCTATGCCTCCTGTGTAGTTGGGTTACAGGTGTGGAACACCTGGCTTATTTGTTGAGAAGAGGCCTCACTAAGTTTTTGCTCTGGCTGGTCTCCAACCACGATCCTCACAATCTCTGCTACTTAAGTAACTGAGATTACAGGTAGGCTCCAAACCTAGCCTCCAGCAGCTTTTCATCTTTAACTTTGTTGTAATAGATTTTCTTTGATTGATTTATTTATTTATTATCTGCCTCCCAAGTAGTGCTAGACTTATAGGCATGGGGCACCACACTCAACTGTGATGCTAGTGGACTTGGACATCGATTCCTCCTTCTGTTTCATGGTAAACACTCTGAACTTTGAGCATCATCCATGGCATCGCTAGAGCCTAGGCAAGGCTGCCCTCTGGTCTGCTGCTCGAGTCACACGTACAGGCCGACTTTCGATTTATGGGCCTGTGCCCCTTTCCAGCAGCCAGATGACTGTGTTCTCTGTTTCTGTAACTCACATATTTTCATATTATGAATGGGACTGTTGTTCTAAGAAACCATTTCTGCAAAGGTTTTTTTGGGAGTGATGTCTGTGTTTGTGTTGTATGATATTACGTGTTATATACGTCATGTAAGAATAGATTGTTGCTTATGAAAACATGCCACCAAATGTTTTATAACATACCTGACATGTTGTCCCGGAAAAAAAGCCGCACATGGACCATAGAATTAAAAGAAGTAGGAATTCAGAAATTGGAGAGCCAAGTCATAAACACATGATCTATTTGGTCAGATTTTATTTTACTTATTTATTGTTTTTCTATTTGGTAAGATTTTACAGATGCCATTTTAATTTTATTTTTTGGTACACTAGAGTTTGAACTCAGGGCCTCAACGCTTGCTAGGCAGGTGCTCTTACCTCTTGAGCCATGCTGCCAGCTCTTTATTTGGTAAGATTTTAATGTAAGGTCTGGTTTCTTACCTCAAGGAGATGATAGCGTCCTCTATATCACAGACACACTGGTTCACATACAGTCTTACGGAAGGAACTAGAGCTGGTTCCACCACTATGGGACACTTAATAAAAAAGCTTTCACACTGCTAGAATATTTAAGCCGTCCTCTGTTAGCAAACTTGCGATTCCTTGGTTTAAGATTTGGTTAGATTGACGGGAACCTTCTTTTTGAAGACTGAGAGATAGTGGTGACATTATCACTGTGTTAGTTTTGTTAATAATGGAAACATTTTCCTTATTGCACACCTGAATTAGTTAGGTCAGATTCATTTTCCTAAGTTGTTTCTGAAGGGTCAGGCGCTAAAGGGTGTAGGTTTTGGTCAGGATTGAAGGGCAGCTGGGCACTAGTGGCTCACCCTTCTAGTCCTAACTACTTAGGAGGCTGAGAACAGGATCGTGGTTCAAGGACAGCCTGCAAAAATAGTTATTGGAGACCCTATCTCCAAAAATAACCAGAGCAAAATAGACTGGAAGTTGGGTTCAAGTGATAGAGCACCTGTTTGTTTTTTTGTTTGTTTGTTTTTGTGGTACTGGGGCTTTAACTTAGAGCCTTCACATTGAGCCACCCCGCCACTTTTTTTTTTTGTGATGATTTTTTCAAAATAGGGTCTCAAAAATTGTTTTCCTAGGCTGGCTTTAAACTGTGATCCTCCTGATCTCTGCCTCCTGAGTAGCTAGGATTACAGATATGAACCACTGGTGCCTGGCTAGAGCACTTGTTTTGCAAGTATAAAGCCCTGAATTCAAACTCCAGTCCCGCCAAAAAAAAATTGAGTCCATACAGAGTACTTCCTCATAGGCAGACAGAGCAGGGTGTGGACAGGGGGAGAGATCAGGTAATAGGACAGTGGAGACTCCAGGAAAAGGAGCGTTGGTCTCCATGGAATGGAGCAGAGAGCAAAGGCTTTGTACTCCAGTCGTAGGTCTTTTGACACCACCCTGCACTGTGCTTGAAGAAGGGAAGGAACATGATTTGTCTGTTCCTTGCTTCCCACAGCCCTGCATCATAATTCTGCATCTCAGCTGACACTTGGGATGCCATACCTGCCTCATGTAGCCCTGCATTCTAGGTCAACACCCGAGGTGCTGTGGTATAGGCTGGTAGTTATTTTTTTATTTATTTGTTTTGGAATAAAAAAAAAACCCTGCTTTTATTAGTATGGGGAATGCCATTAAATTCCTCTCATTTGTTACAGGGTTAAGTTTTTCTTAAATAGCAATCATAGTTATATACGAGGATACATTGTGAGATTTGCCTATGTGTTTATAATATATCTTAATTAGATTCACCCCCTGCATCATTCTCCCTCATCCCCCTTCTTAGAACAATTTTAAATATGTTCTATATTCATACATGTATACAAAGTACATTGACCATATTCGTCCTTCTCCACATTCTCTGTTTACTTTTCCCTCTCCCACTGGTACCTACCCCAGAATAGGACTTATTTTACCTGCTTTTTTTGGGGGTGGGGTGGGGTGGTGGGTGGGGTTTGTTAAACTCAGGGCTTTGTGCTTACAAAGTAGGCACTCTGCACTTGAGCCACACCTCCAGTCCATTTTGCTCTGGTTATTTTGGAGGAGTTCTCACAAACTATTTGCCTGGGCTTGCCTCAAACCTCACTTCTCTCAATCTTATTCAGTCTCCCACATAGCTGGGATTATAGGTGTGAGTCACTGTGCCTAGCTTGCCCTTCATTTTTTTTTTTTAAGTATATATTGATTGTTCAAGGGAGTTTTGCCTTGATATTTCACACATTTATATATCATACTTTCATCAGATTGCCCCCCAAATCCCATTTCTTACTCTTTCTCTATTGCCCTACTCTTTACTCAACATCTTGCAGTGTATTACCTTACACTGCCTTCATACATAGGTGCATTGTTCCAATATTATTCACTCGCTATTATTCTCTTTTCCTCTTCTGCTTCCCTGTAGTCTGCTCAGACCCACTAATACAATCGTATGTATGTTCTCTCTCTCTCTCTCTCTCTCTCACATTTATCCAGCTGCCATTTTGGCCATCATGACTGAGGCCTCCTGAGATGCCCCACAGCTCTCCATCCTGCCCGAACAGAACCATGTGTCTTTCCCTCAGCTTACACACTACTGCAGTCCTAGAGAATTGAGTGGAAGTTGAAGCAGTGTATATATGTTTTGGTGGTGGTTTATGTAATGGCATTGGTTCCTGTCTCAGATCATGTTAGGGGTTCCCCATGTAAGTATGGTCATTGGGATATGGAGTGATTCTTGTGTTGGACTCCCTTTTACCTGGATGGGCCTGGCATCTTTGATCCCAGCCCATGAAAGCTGGCAGTGCCCTACCATTGAGACAACCAGAAACACCTTCAGATACTTCCAGAACTGCCGCCTTTATTGAGAATGGTTGGTTTGGGCTTCTATGAGCTCCCATGGTAATTTACTGTTTCTATGGGGATATTGTCTCATGGGCCAAAGAACTGGCACATTTTAAAAATTATAGTTTCCAGCTTGCGGGCTGCCACCTTCAGTTGTCACACTTCTTGTTGATAGTTTGGAGATCATACATCATCCATGAACTCTGCTTCCAGAATTGGTACTTACAGAAAGGATCTGGAAGGAACTTTTGAGGCAGCGAGTAGCCTTTAGTTAGATGGAATCCAAGGCCCTGCACATGCCAGACAAGTGCTCTATCCCTGAGCTACACTCTAGCCTCTGACCTCACCTACAATAAAATCTATAGTCAACCTCCTTTTGCATCTGGGTGCTGAATTGTCCCTCTTGATGCTTAGTCTGGTCATTATCTCCCTCTCTAGAGGAGGCACCAGCTAAAGAACGTCTGTGGTGCTGTAGATCTTAACCTGAGGTTTTTAGTCACTTAGCTAGCATACAGCTAGCTAACTCAAAAGTGTGCCTTTCCCTCTGTGCTAGGGTCCCTTGGCCAAGCTCTCTTGGGCCCTTGTGGAGATGCTGGAAAATGCACTAGCTGCATTCCCACTCCTGTGGCACCTATGGGACCCTTCTACAGGCACAGTACAGGTGCCTGTGGGGTACAGGGGCTCTACTCCCTTGCCTTTACTTGTGGTTCCTCCCCCACCCCCCTGTAATTATCCACCCTTTCTGGCTTGGTTACATGTAGTGATTTGCTTGAGAGAACTAGATGGAGTGTGTCCATACTGCAGTGGTCATGTCTCCAGGTCCTCCTCACTGAGCACACACTTGGTTCCTGGGCTGTGACATGACTTTCTGAGGGTCTGCTTTGAAAACCAGAAATGCATCACAAATTCAATAGTAATGCCATTCTTCCTGAGGCTGCCCCTCATGCCATGGTCTGTCCCTGTGTAGGTTTCCTGTAGGTGCTCTGTGCAGGGAATGAAAGTTAACTTCTCCAGCCTCCTTGGCATCTCAGTCTGTGTGAGGTTCCCACAGGGTTAGTAAACCCCTGAGAACATGCACTTGTTTCTACTCCACATGAAAAGGGGTATTTGCGGGAGAGGGTGGGGGCGGGGGGAGAAATGACCCAAGTATTGTATGCACATATGAATAATAAAAAAAAAAAAAAAAAAGAGTGTATTTGCAGTTTATCTTGCAAAGTAGTGCCTTTGGAGACTACTTACCTGGACAATGTTGCTTTTTTAAAAGTATTTACAATACTGGTTTCCATTTTCCCCTCATTCCCAAAGGCCAGGTTTTCTTCCCTAGTGACCTATCACACGTTAATAGATGGTCAATAAACCAGCCCAGCTGGCGGAATGGCTTAAGTGGTACAGTGCCTGCTTTACAAATGTGAATCCCTTAGCTTACACCCCAGTGCCAAAGAACAAACAAACAAAAAACACCCCTGGTTTGCAACTCCCTGAGGAAACATAAATAGTTGTGCACATGGTGGCCCCCACACTCCTCCAGCATTTCCCTCTGCGTTCTCTGAGTTAGCAAGTTCAGGTATGATGGCATGTTTGTGCTGCTTGATGAATAGCTGAGTCTGGGTGTGCTGCTGAGATGTCTTGTCATTTAAGTTAGGACCAGGGAGAAAGTGCTAGATTCAAGAACAGGACCGTTCATGCGGGTTTGATTTGACAGTTTTCAGTCAGCCTTGGTTGGCCTGTGTGTAAAGATGAATGGAGCAACAGCCTGCTTTGCCCACTTGGGGCTGGCTCTGCCCACGTCCTCCACCTTTTCCGATATGTGTTTGGAAGCCAGATGGATTGAATTCTTTTCCCTGATCAGTAAATGACTCTGTTTTCATAATACTGAAATAGAGACAGGGGATTTTTTATTCTCTGGCTATAAAAAACAATGGACATTGGAGTTTTCCTTGGGTAGCCCTCATTCTGGAAGTATACCTGTGGCAGTAGATGTCCCACTAGCTGCCCACCCTCCTGATGGCAGGGATCTGGTAGAGCTGGCTGGACAGCTTCCTCTCAGCAGTCATTTATACACTGTCCTGACTTTAAGGTTGATATGGAGTGGCACTTGGGAAAGAGGGAAGTCTAGAGGGTGATGCATGGGCTGTAAGCACATGTGGAGTGGAAGGTATTAGGAGGAAAGCCCCTAGGTGACCCTGTCCCCCATGACTCTGCAGTGTATCTACACCTCAGTGTGTGAAAAGTGATACTTGGGCACTGACCTGATATGGCCACATAGATTTCTTTAAGGTGGATACTACTGTGGATTATGCCAGTGCTAGGAGTGTTTTACTGAAGATAGTGTCTAACCAGGCATGGTGTTCCATACCTGTAATTCTAGCACTCAAGAGGCTGAGGATCACCAGTTCAAGGCCAGCCTGGGCTACATAGACCCTGCCTCAAAACAAGCAAACAAAAACAATTAAAAGATAGTTCTTGTCCTTCTCACCCTTGGCACCCCTCTCACCCCCCAGCCCCTATCTGTAGGCGAATCTGTTCATATATCCTGGTTTGTTAAAAACTGAGAGGTTGGCTCGGAGCTAGTGGCTCATACCTGTAATTCTGGCTACTTTGGGAGGCTGAGATTGGAAGATTTGAACTTTGATGCCAGCCTGGGTAAATAGTTTATGAGACCCCCATCTCCGACTATCCAGAGCAAAAATGGACTGCAAGGTATGGCTCAAGAGGTAGAGGGCCTTTTTTTTTTTTTTTTGAGAGTACTGGGGTTTGAACTCAGGGCTTCACACTTGCTAGGCAGGTGCTGTACCACATGAGCCACTCTGCCTTCTCAGAACACCTGCTTTGTAAGATCAAAGCCCTGAGTTCAAACCCCAGTCTCACCAAAAAAAACCAAACAAAAACCCTGCAAGGTCATATGTTTGATGCACTAAGCACAGCAATCCTGGGCTATGACTGTGTGTCATGTGTGGCCCCATGTGTGCAGCCTGTGGCTGTGGGGGTGTGAGCAGACACTGTGTGTCCAAGGCCTGATGCTCCAGCCCCTAGCCAGATTACTCAAGACGGACTTCTGATGTTTGCTTCCTATTTACCAGAAGGTAACAGACATGGATTGGTTCTGAATATCCTTTGGTAGATTCTCTTGAAGGTCTTTCTCTTGCAGGTGGTCCGGACAACCAGGTCCACTTTGAAGGATACCAGGTGTCTAACCAGTGCATGGCACTGGTCCGAGATGAGTGTCTGCTGCCGTGCAAGGATGCCCCTGAGCTCGGCTATGCCAAGGAGTCCAGCAGTGAGCAGTATGTGCCTGATGTCTTTTATAAGGTAAAGACACAGTGGCACAAAAAAATTATACACCTGTAGGACAGAGTGTCTTGGACTCCTCTAATATTTGTGCATCCTGGAACATTAGCTGCTTGTCAGCTCTGGTGTTTTGAGTAGGTAAAGGTACCTGTTTTAACAGTATTGGGGTTTGCACTCAGGGCCTCAGGCTTGTTAGACAGATAACTTTTTTAAAATCTCTCCCTAGGGGATTCTCATTACATACATTTGGCTACATGAAGTCCCACAGTTCACTGATGCTCTGTTCATTTTATTTAAGTCTTTTTTTTTTCTCTGTGTTTCATTTTGGATAATTTCCGTTTTTGTCTTCATATTCATTAATCTTCTGGATTATCTGATCTGTCATTTCATCTAGATATTAATCTATTTCAGATATTGTAGTTTTCGTTCCTAGAAGTTAACCTTGTCATTTATATATTTCCATTTACCTCTGTGAACATACAGGATACAGTTATGACTGTTCTGATGTCTTTATCTACTAATCCTATTAACCTGTTACTTCTGGAGCAGTTTTGCCTGATATTTCTCCTAAGTATGGGTTGTACTTTTAGTTGTTTTTGGGTCCTTGTATTCTGTCTTTGTGTCACCTCTGTGTTCTCTGAACCATTCACAGTTATGAGTGTGAGTTGTGTGCTACTCCTTGTCTATTAAGCCAGAGACTCCAGAGGCTGTTCCACAAGATAGGGCATTCCTCTTCATCTGCAAGGAAGTAGAGTTTTGGCTGTCAACCTCCATGTCCATGGTGAATAGCTGAACCACGTCTGACTGGCTTTTTGGTAAGACCTAGCCAGTCTGCCATTGGTTCTTCCCCATCTCTGTAATGGAGTCCTCCAGCATTTCCACCTGAAAGCCCATGTTCTTTATAAGGCTATAGCCCACCTTAGGGCTTTGTGTCCTGAGCTCAGAAAGGTCATAAGACATGCAGTGTCCCTTCAGAAGTTTTTGGTTTTGCTCCTTCCTCACGAGGCTCAAATAGATGGGACATCTGGCTCCATGTGCCTTAAATTTTTGCCAATATCCTGGAGAACAGCTATGTGTTTGAAACCCGTGTGTCTCTAACCTTGTCACTCCAGCCCTGTCTGGAAGCCATAGTCTCTGCTGTGCCCTCATCTCCTGCAGTGGCCTGTGTCAAGAAGACAGAAGAGAGTTTCTATATTAGTGTCATCAGCAACTCCTGCTGGGGTTTCCTCTGAGCCCCCTCCTTTTAAACAGATCTTTATTGTCTGAGCCCATGAGATCACAGGAGCTGGCACCCTACCATCAGTTGTATCCTATGGGGGAATGAGGCTTCAATGCAGTCGCTTCCAGTGCCTTTCCAGTTTTCAGATATGTGATTGATTAGTTGTCTGAGCACCATTTATTGAAGGAAAACACCCTCTTCCTGTTGCTTTACAATCCATCTCTTTATCAGTTGTCTCCAAAAATCATGGATGTGGTTCTGAACATTGTTCTGTTCCATTGACCAGTTTTCCTGAATCAGTACCAGTGCCAGTCTTCCTTGATCACTGTCACTGTAACTTTGGAGTTATTCTGTACACTCAACACACAAGTGCTGCCACTTTGCTTCCTTCAGGAGCTGCACCATCTTTGGCCAGTGAGTTTTAGAGTCAGCCTTTGAAGTTGTACCAAACTAAAGGATCTCTGTGGGGTTTCACCAGATCTTTTCAAGGATGTCCTCTCCCTTTTGGACTTGAAGTGCTGTACTTATGTTCTTTAATGTCTCCCAAAAGGCTTTGGACCTGTGAAGGTCTTGCCCCTTTTTGCTTGTCAGATCATTCCTAGTAATAATATGTTTTTCTATATACTATAAAACAGCAACATTTTAAAACTATGTCTTCAAACTGCTACTGTTTGAATTAGGTTAACTTTTGTCAGCTTATCTGCTGTTTACTCTGCAGCCCTTTGGTTTTCTACACACACAACTTAATGATGCTGAATAACAGTTTTGTTTTTCTCTTTCTGTTCTTGTGTGGCTTAGTGTCTCTGCTGAGATTCCCCAACAATGTCAGTGACAGTGGTCAGAGCCTTTGTCTTGCTTTCAATCTTAAAGGACTTTCAGGATTTTGTTACTGACTTCATGTTTGTTTGGGTTGTCCATGTTGTTTTTAAATACTTTTTATGAAGTTGGAATTTGTTCTTTATTTCCATGTTTCATTGTGTACTCCTTGCACTTTAAGAATTGAGTTCCCTTTTGTCATGAGGTATTGTTATTTCCTTAATCACCCTGTTGCATTCACAGAGTGCTTACTCTGTTAGTGAGAACAGGTGGGATGTGCTTCCCAAATTGTAGGGTTTGAGACACTCATTTATCACATTTCAGGAAAATAACAGTCTGAATAAAGAGAACTATAAAAGCAAACATTGAAGTAATCGTTTTAGTCCTCTTGTGGGCTTTGTGGTTAAATTTAAAATATGCCTTGTAAACGATACCAGCACCAATATTTACCTAGGACAGTTATTCATGATTGTCTGTGGTTATAAAAATTAGAAACAATCGAATAGCTCAGTGACAAGGGAACATTAAATAATACTGTATCGTGTGGCAGAATGCTGTATAGGGTAGAACTCTTGATATGGAATTAAAAGTGAACCTACAGAGTATAAGTCCAGTGTCTTTTTCCCTTTTGAAGGTATGTAGGTGTTTAGACATGTGTGTGCAACTACATCTTTGGATTCACATTTAGGGTGGGCGCAGGAAGCCTGCATGTTTAGTGGAAGGGGAGCTGTGCACAATTTTGCTCTCCATCTTGTGCAGGCCGTGAAGCAGGAAGAGGTGGACACAGATACCCCTGAGACTGAAGGAGTTCAAAGGTCTAAATAAGCAGTGCCCAAATGTGCTCTTTGAAAAGTACAGGGACATATGGGGCTATGTGTGCATAGAAAGGCTGCCCCTGAGAAAATAGGACTGCTGCTACTTGTCTCTTATTTCCAGGACATTACATTCAGGTGGGAGGGTAAGGGCTTCCCCCTTTTGTCGTTTTTTTTTTTTTTTTTTTTTTTTTTTAATGGTACTGGGGTTTAAACTCAGGACCTTACACTTGGTAGGCAGGTACTCTGTGACTTAAGCCACTCCACCAGCCCTTTTTTGCTGTAGTTATTTTTTAGATAGGCTCTTGCATTTTTTTCCCAGGGCCTGCCTCCTATCTAGACTTTCCATGTAACTGGGGCCACAAGAATGCACTACCATGACTGGCTTATTAATTGAGATGGGAACCACAATCTTCATTGTCTCTGGTTCCTGAGTAGTTGTGATTACCAGCATGAACCACCGGGCCCAGTCCTCTTTTGTCTTTGTAAGCCACTTTACTCCCCTCGTGTGTCCTCCTGACTGTTGGAACCTCTGTGTGTGGTCATTATGGACGCTTGTTCTCTGCAGAAAAATAGGAGGACACATTTAATGATAGCCACTTGTGCATTTAGTGCAGTTCCTCTCATTTTTTTATCTGTTCTTTCAAATTAAAAAGACTCATAATTGTACAGAAATGAAGTATATGTATTGATAAGCAGCCAAATCAGAATGTAATTAGTTGAGTGTTTCCGTTTTTGGCTTTTTTTTTTTTAATTTTTTTTGTTAAAGACTGGCCATGAGTCACACCTCTGTACACATATTCTCAGAGCAGAACTGCTGGGCATAAAATTTCTGAGTTGTGACAGAAACTTAGGCCCTGCCCTCTAAAAGGTCACACTAGTATTTATTTATAGCCATTTCTTCCCCTTTTTTTAGTACTTTAATTTTTTTTTATTTTCATTTTTTGGTGGTTTCATACTAGGATTTGAACTCAGGGTCTTGCACTTGGTAGGCAGGCACTCTACCGCTTGATTCACATCTCCAGCCTGTTTTGCTGTGGTTATCTTGAAGATAGGTTCTTAACTTTTTGCCCAGGCCAACCGGGCCCTGGGCCAGGATAGGGCCTTGAAAACTACTTGCCTGGGCTGGGTTTGAACCTTGATCCTCCTGATCTCTGCCACCTGAGTAGCTAGGATTACTGTTGTGAGCTACCAGCTCCTGGCTATAACTAATCTCTGTAACCCATCATCTCTCATCATTTGGTGGGGACGGGCAATGCCTGTGGTGTGTACAGTTGGGAGAGTCAGTTGGGCCTGTGCATGCAGCATATAGTCTATACCAGGTATGGCAAGTGCCTGAGCATCCAGCTGTTGCTTCTGTTTACCTTTAGTAAGCACCCTGCAAATCCTCCTGGATTTCTGTGCCATGAGACACTAAGCTCTGAGCTCTTCTCAGATCAGTGCTGCTGGTGGCACTCGTCTCCTCCTGCCAGTACTTAACAGAGAAGCAGCACACTTGAGTTGGCCCACCTTCTTCAAAGCAAGGCAGTGCCAACTGATCAGTGAGTTGCTGTTCTGTCACCACACACATGCTGTGAGATAACAAAGACATTGATCCCTGCGCTTCTCTTTGATGCATGGCTCCAGTGCTTCCAGACATGTCCTGTGGCAAGTAGTGAGGCATTGGGGACCACAGTTTCTGACTTTCAGAGTCTTGCTCCAAGTGGAGATAAAACTGCTGACACTTTGATGGCTATCGTACTTAGAATTAAGATGTCTTCCTCCTAGCATATTCTGCCTGACATTTGCTAAAGCCATAAAAAGTAATTGCCTTTAAAAATGTTGTGTAGGGCTAGAGATTGGCTGGCAAAAGCATTTGAGAAAAGGCATGGGGGAAAGATAGATGTTATCTGTTTTCCCCCCCACCCCCGGGAAGAAAAGGGGATACAACACCTTTAATTTCTTAGGGAGCAGAAAAGGTACACTTGGGTAGTTAAATTGGAACAAGAATAGCATGACACAAAAAAAAAGAGAGAGGGGCATTTAACAAGAAAATCCCCTGGAGGGGAAGATTAAAGTGAACAGGTGCTGGAAAAATGTTTCTGCATATTAGAGCTTAATTAGATTTGAAGATGAATTCCAGATGGGCTAATTATGTGTGAGTTGTTGCAGGTTATTTCTTGTAGGGGCAAGCATGTATTTTTGGAAGTGGTGATTTAGTTAGATTGGCTTTGATTCCTGCCTCCTACCATATCTCCTTCATTATGAAACTGCCTCTTCAGGGACCCAGGAGCCCCTCAGTATACCCACATCTTTGGGACTCCTGTCATAGCCAGCAGAGTCCTGGAACAGGAGGCCATGTGGCTACACGTGGGGAAGAATGAGTGACCCTGTACCCAAGTTGTGTGGATGGTCATCTCAGCCTTAGGGGAGGCAGCCAGAACAGAGTCTGCAGGAATGTGCCATTTGCCAGGATAGGAATGACCTGCTTGGCAGAAAACGGAGTCAAAGTTGATGTTTCCTTGGAGGCTGCCGGTTGGATGTATTTGGACTATTTCCTCTAGGTAAAGGAGGAATCCTTTTTGGCATCTCTCTAGGTGACAGACAGAAAAGGCAGAAGCATACCCATAAACAGAGGCATGTTTCAGATGAGAAATTTTAATGTTTAAACAAGAGACAAGGCCAGTTGGGGCCACTGATGTCCTGGTAGGATGATGGGCTTGGTTTGACTTAGGGACAGATTATGATGACTGTCTTAAAAGACAGCACAGGGGGTTAGGATGGGTAAGGGAGTTGGGGGTAGAGGGGAAGGGGGGAAGGGGGGAGAAATGACCCAAACATTGTATTCACATATGAATTAAAAAAAAAAAAAAAAAAGACAGCACAGCTCTCTGATGTTCTCTGAAGGTATGATGGACTGGGAGCAACCTCGTGGCTTTCCTTGGGGACGTATGCTTGGCAACCAGTTCGGGTCTGAGAGCGTAAATAAATGTAAACTTTTATGTAAGGCCCTGTAATTGGAAATTATGGTATATAATTTATATATGGCTCAATGAATGATTTATATAATGTGATGATTTAGATAGAAAATATGACCCCTCTTGTAGAATCTTTAATGAAAAGCGTTCAGTCCTTATGAATTTATTTCCAGAGCTCTGTTTGAACTCAGCATGTCTGACATAAATCAGACCTAATTGTCATTTTATGATTAATGAACATATGCTGGCCATTTTTCCCCATAATTAAACTTTATGTTCTGTGCATCTGACAAAGCAAAACAAGTTTAGACTTTGACAGATTGGTGGCAGGGGTTTTCCATGTCTGCGTACTTGTGTGTGTGTGTGTGTGTGTGTGTGTGTGTACTCATTTGTGCGTATTTTTGTTTTGTTCGTGTACAAGTACTAAGTTTCCATACAAGGTTTTCTGAAGTGTAAGGTTTTTCTTTTAAGAGTTAGCATTGAGAGCAGTAGGCGTGGCTCAAGTAGTAGAGCGTGAAACCCTGAGTTCAAGACCCAGTTCCATAAAAAAAATTTTTTTGAGCATTCAGACTGTGAGACTTGGGGTGATTATTGTTGAGAATAAAAGGGCTTAGGCCCAGCCTGAGGGGAGCATGAGCCCTGCTGCTTTTGTCTCAGCCATCCTTGCTGGCAGGCTGTGCTGTATGGAGCAGGGGCTCTCCCTGCCGGGATGTCCCAGTTACCAGGAGTGTGGCTGTTCCTTTAAAAGGTGAGATAAATGTGTGAATGGGATACTATGTCGCTGGTCACCTTCGCTCAATAGCCATTCACGTTTGTTTCAGGATATTGACAAGTTTGGCAACGAAATCACCCAGCTGGCCCGCCCCCTGCCTGTGGAGTATCTGATCATAGACGTAAGTGTTCCCCCATGCTCAAACCACCGGGAGGTCAGAACTGCTGAGTGATGAAGGGTGGAGTTGCAACCTCTGTCCTGCACAGTGCTGGGTGATAATTGTTGAATCATTAAGTCCAAAGTGTGTATTCCCAGAAAGTTCACAATGTTAGGACTTTTTCTTTCAATTTCAGGTTTTTGTATCCTTGAAAACAACCTAGGGGACAACTTTCCCCATATTAATGTATAAAGGAGCAATCTCTCTCCACATGCTGTGCTTGACTCGTGGCCTCCTGCTTCCCAGCATGTGCAGGTGCTGCCCTGGTTAGAGCATGGCTGCCACAGCCATAGTGGTCCTGGGACCACTCCATCCAAGAGGGTCCTGGGGATCACTGACACACCTGTAACTCAGTGTCCTTGAGTAGGGAGGGTTAAATTGGTCTCCTGGGCAGAGCTCTAGGGGTCAAGAGGAGCTGACTCTGCTGCATCTTCCTTGAGTCTATGCTCTCTTCTGGAGGCATTTGATGGTTACACAGACATGCCCTTGCCATCAACCACAAGACAGTGAATGCCACAGGACAAAGCCTGGCTTTGTAGCAGCTGGGGTATCACTGCCTGCCAGAACTCTGTCCAAAGGGGCAGGAAGTGGCTCATTGCTGCTGTGCCAGGACCTGTTCGGGCTGCATTTGGACTGAGGACAGGCATGTGATTCATGCAGTAAAATACCAATGCATTTGGAGCAGTGGGTTCCCCTGAGCCAAGCCCATTGATGCTCCATTCCAATTGACAGCTCAGGAGAACATATTTATTACCTAGGCTGTAAAGGCATCTGTTTTTTAGACTACCTAGGGTGTAATTAAGATGAAAACAGATTGATGGAACATACACTTAGGAGGAATCGGCATGATTTAGAATCAGCTTCCTAAAGTCTTCTCTCTCTGCAATGGCAATGCCTTCCCACCCTTTTCCTCTACTTCTGTAAAGGAAATAGGTTCTTGCCTTAGCACATCCTTACAACAGTGCTGAGTTGCTGGGAACCATTCTGCCCTGTGACACCCAAGTTCTGTGTCTCTATAGAAGTGGGACCTGGGCGTCCCTTGAGAGCCAGTGCCTAAGGAAGTTATTCAGCTCCTCACCCAGCCCCAAAGACCCCTGGCCTGGGGAAGGGGCAGCTATTTCAGACAGAAAAGTAAGAAAATGTTGCCTGTTCTTTGGACGTATTAGCTGATGGTCCAGCTGATGACTCCAGACAGGATGAACAGGGAGAAGGTTTAAACACAGGACAAGGAGCTGGACCCCTAGGACAGTCACATGTGGCCATGTGGACTTCGGTTCTGTTGCTCTCCAAGGGCCACTTACAGGGTTAATGCATACCTCTTTTTTTCTTCTGTTCTCTTCTTTTCATCTTCCCCCTTCACTCCCTCCCGCTCTCTTTCTTATTTCCTTTTACAAAAATTTTATTCTATGGTACTGAGGATTGAACCCTAGGTCTTTGTGCAAGTTAGGCAGTTGTACTGCTACTGAGCTACACTCCCACCACTCCACTCCTTTTTAAAAATTTATTTATTTATTTAAATTTTGAGTCAGTCTTGCTAAGTTTCCCAGGCAGGCTTCAAACTTGTAATCTTCCAACTCAGCCTCCTCAGTAGTTTGGATTATAGGCCTGTACTACCACTCCTGGCCAAATAACTCTCTTGAGTTCACTAGTGTACTTCCTGACAAGTATTCTTTTTTTTTTTTTCATTTTTCTTTTATTATTCATATGTGCATACAAGGCTTGGTTCATTTCTCCCCCCTGCCCCCACCCCCTCCCTTACCACCCACTCCGCTCTCTCCCTCTCCCCCCCCCTCAATACCCAGCAGAAACTATTTTGCCCTTATTTCTAATTTTGTTGTAGAGAGAGTATAATCAATAATAGGAAGGAACAAGGGTTTTTGCTGGTTGAGATAAGGATAGCTATACAGGGCATTGACTCACATTGATTTCCTGTGCATGGGTGTTACCTTCTAGGTTAATTCTTTTTGATCTAACCTTTTCTCTAGTACCTGTTCCCCTTTTCCTATTGGCCTCAGTTGCTTTAAGATATCTGCTTTAGTTTCTCTGCATTAAGGGCAACAAATGCTAGCTAGTTTTTTAGGTGCCTGACAAGTATTCTGCAGTTGCCCTTCCACTCCCACTTCTGCCATCCCAAAAGGAGGAACCTAAGTGGGCCCAGGCTTTTGTCTGCAGTGTGGACATACCCCTACCTTTAAGTCCTGAGTGCAGCTAAGACCGAATGTGTACCAGCCTCACGCTGGGCTCCTTACATGTGTGAGCTGCTGTCATTGTCTCTGTCTTCCAGATGAGCAGAGTGAAGCCAGGTACCACTCTGGCCCAACTCTGAATGCTTGGCCCACAGCTGCACAGGGTTGTCTATAAAGGACCAGCCAGCTGGCTCAGGTCAGGGCCGCTACCGATGTCTTAGCTCATCCTTCAGAGCACTGATGTTGCACAGCTGAATCCAGAACCAGCTTGAGGTCCTTGCTGATGCAGAAAACAGACCAGGACACTTTCATTTTAGAAATAGTCCCGCAGGAGCCAGATAGCTACCCTAAATCTGGAACGGGTGTGACCTGCTGCTAGTGTCACTTGCAGAGGAAAGCTGTGTAGGCCAGAGGTGTCAGTAGCTTACACTGGGGTGTTTCTGTGAGGGGGTGGGCATCTACCAATAGAAATAAAGTCTGTGTTTGTAATGACTCCTGCACATTTACCACTATCTCTGTGGGTTCTGTTGATTACATTTTAGATTTAAAATACCTTCTGCCATTACTAAAGCATATCACAGCCAAATGAAGGACTCCAGTGGAAGCTCTAAGCTCTAGCTCAGTCACTTCTGAGAGAGAATAGCTCATGACTCAGCCCTGCTGGAAAGCCACAGGCTCCATGGAGCAGCCTAGCGGTCACTGTGTTTCTCAGACCCACATTGGTTGACTGTGCACTTGCCCCCAAGCCTAGTGATGTAAATCTCATGCCTCTGAGTTGTCCTCCTGCCTCCTCCATTTTCTTCTTTAGTTCTGTTGGGTTAAATGGGCAAACTGGCCTCTCATTAGTCCATGGTAGAGCAAGAACACTGGCATGAGACTCAGATGGTCTTCATGTGTCAGGTGTGGGTACTTTTAAACACATTCTTCAGTTTGTCTCCCAATATCTGAGTTTTATATTTCCATTTGGGATTGACACTAATATTTAACTACCCTTCAACTTGGAGTTTATAGGCCTCAAAATTGCTGTGCATATAACCTGCCCAGGTGTGCTGGGTCTGCTCGGGTTTGTGTGTCCATACCATCTCAGCAAAGCTTATCACAGTTGTTTTTTGTTCTTTAGATCACGACAACCTTCCCCAAGGATCCAGTTTACACTTTTTCTATTTCACAAAATCCATTTCCTATTGAAAACCGGGAAGTACTAGGTGAGACACAGGTAAGCTCTTTGTTTTAGAAACACAGTTTAAACTTCAGATTATTTATCTAGCATCAGTCTTGTTTTCCCAAAAGGTGCCATGCTTTCACATTCCCCTGATTCACTCTGTGGTAAGCCCTTTGCCATTCTTGTGATGGGGCCCTTTTTAGGATACTGTCGTTGTTTTTGTTTTGTCTTGTTTTTCTTTGGTGGGACTGGGGTTTGAACTCAGGGCTTCCACTCTTGCGAAGCAGGTGCTCTGCCACTTGAGCCACACCTTCAGTCTGTTTTGGGTTTTTTTTTTTGTTGTTTTTTAAGCAGCACTGGGGTTTGAACTCAGGACCTCACACTTACTAAGCAGATGCTCTACCACTTGAGCCACTCCACCAGCTTCAGTCTGTTTTTGATCTGGTTAGTTTGGAGATGGGGTCTTATGAACTATTTGCCCAGGATGGCCTCAAACCGCAATCCTCCCAGTCTCAGCCTCCTAAATAGCTCTAGGGTACCATCGATCACTTGAGTGCCCTTTCCCTGGCCAGGTGATGTTTAACCACAGGGCAAATCTCCTTAAGTTCTCAGGCCTACTGTTTTTTTGTTTTTTTGTGTTTTTTTTTCAATACTGGAGCTTAAACTCAGGGCTTTCACCTTGAGCCACTCCACCAGCCCTGTTTTTTGTGAAGGGTTTTTCAAGATAGGGTCTCATGGAACTATTTGCCCAGGCTGGCTTAGAACCACGATCCTCCTGATCTCTGCCTCCTGAATAGCTAGGATTACAGGCGTGAGCCACTGGTGCCCAGCTCAAGGCCTCCACTATGTTTTGGCAGTACTGGGGTTTGAACTCAGGGCCTCGTGCTTGCTAGGCAGGCACTGTACCACTTGAGCCCCTTCTCCAAGATTAAAGTACACTTTTCTTTTTTGTTTTCCTCAAGCTTACAGACTTGTCAGAAGTTCCATTCAATGGGCTTCTTAATTTTTCCAAAATTTTTTAATCCCTTTGGCTCCTCTACCAACAGCCTTTTTATGTTTGTTTGTTAATTAATACATCTTTTGTGGACCTAAGCAGTGAGATCATCTTGCTTCCCTGTTGGTCTGCCCCACCTCTTGCTGAATTTCCTGGGCTGTGTGGACCCTGTGTAATCTGGCACATCATGTAGCAATAGGCTCATTGCTTATCCTCTTGCTCTGCCCTCCACTTTGACCAGCAGATGAGCCCAGACTCGAATGTGAATTGCTGCCTTATGCACCCCGTCAGAGTGCTCACAACTCTTAGAGCATGATTTGGGACCGGTGTTTAAGAAGATAGCTTGGCTGAGGAATGTCTGTAACGAGGTTTACTTCTGGTGCTATAGCTTGATGGTGAAGCCTTTTCTGATGCTCAGGTTCCTTGCTGCCTGTCTGCCTGCAGACATGGGGTGCTTACTGGGGCACAAAGCCAATTACTGAATGGCTCCTTGAGCTGCACATATTCAGTGTGCAGTGTGGCAGTGACCCTCCCCATTTCTCCTTCTCACTCTTCAATGCCCTCACACAAGAAGGTATCCAGACAGGCCAGATTGATCCCCCTCCCTGACCAAAAGAGCCCTTCCCTTGGCCTACTCTGCATCTGGAGATGAAGGGGCGTTTTCTGTCTGTCTGACCATCTCAGATCTAGGTCAGCATATACACCTGCTTTCTCACATATCTTAATCAATTAAATGTGCTCAAGGTTCCCCCAGGCAGCTGGGGTTTGGGAGGAGTTCAATGCTTACCCTGTGGCTATTTGCACCTCTTCCCCTGGGTCCTCTCAGTGGTTATAGAAAGAAAAGCTGAGAGAGATCTGTCTTCATTAAATACGTTTATGTTTTTTGGGAGGGAACTCTCCTTCTGGGTGTGAAACTGGAGAATTATGATGGAATATTTGTGTTTTTTCCTTGTCTCCTGCCCCATTTTCTTCAGGACTTCCATAGTTTGGCCACCTATTTGTCCCAGAATACCTCATCTGTGTTCTTGGATACCATCTCAGATTTCCACCTCCTGTTGTTTCTGGTCACCAATGAAGTCATGCCTCTGCAGGTATGGCCACTTCTTGTCTTACCTTCTTTCCTTTAACCAGAGTATGGTGGGAAGCTGAGCCTGTGGTTGGCAAGATGAATGTTTTCACCTTTATCCTACATGGAGAACAGTTACCTTGGTTGTAATCACCTGGAGAACAGAGATGCATGAGCTGTATCCTATAGCCTAGAGTCTCAGGGATCTCACAGTTCAATCTATATCCCAGCGGTTTTGGAATCAAAACTATCTCCTCTCTTCCTAAGCCAAGGATGGTTCATACCTTGGTCCAGAAGGCTTGGCCAGCTTCCATGCTCCATGTGTACAGATGCACAGTTGGCATTTTTAAGACACATTATGGGGGAAGGTGAGGGTAAGTTCTTGGCAGGCAGCAGGTGCTCTGTGCAGGGCAGGGTGGCAGTACAATGGGTCCCACCAGGAAGCTTCTGTATGTACTGTGACATAGGTATCCTCCTGTGGCCTTTTGTTCTTTGCCTGAGCCCCACAGAAACACAAGATAGAGGAACAAGTTTTTTTGCTAATGCTAACTCAGTGTCTTTCCCTAAAGGTGAGAGAACAGAGCTCTCCCTGCCCAGGGCTTTTCTTGTTTTAGCAGCCTATAGCTGGTCTTTTGTTCTGCTTGGTTTATCTTGTGTCTGTTTTGTCCCCACTAAGTATCATCCACTCATGATACTTGACATCAGAAACTCAGAAACTCTGTGGCTCAGCCCAGGAAACTGCACCTCCTAATCTCTGGGTCAGCCCTGTCATCCTAGGAGCAGGTGACAGGGTGGTTGGGGTGTGGTCTCCATCAGGGCCACCTTGCTAGTCAATGTTTTACCTGTTAGAAAACATTTTCTGGAGGTACTGAGAGCCCTTGAAGACTTTATCAGTCTCACTATAGAAACTTAATTCTTTGCATGTTCACCCTGGAGGCCTAGGATAAAATGTGGAGAAAGAAAGAGTTAGAACATAAAGTGAGAGGGAGGAGGATGGGTTCCTGTGCATTTGTTTCTGTCTTAGACCCAGCAACATGGGTTTCTGTCCTCTAGACTATTGAGCCCACTGTCGGCCATTGGCAGAGCGAGGTACAGATGCCCACTTGGGAGTATTTGCATGTAACTTAAATTTTAGCTCATTTTTAGGCCTACCCTCTGGCATAATGTGTTTTATAGTGAAAGACTCTTAGAGTTTTTGAGAGAAGTTCTCACTGTGTACCTCACACTGGCATGGAACTTGCTATATAGTCCAGGCTGGGCTTGAATTCATGCTCCTCTGCCTCCCCAGTGCTGGATGACAAACATGTGCCACCACACATTGGGTAAGATTTTTAAAATTTCCCCTGAAACAGGTTTTGATGTTCAAGAAGAAGAAACCTGTTAACAAGAGTCTTTTCCTCTTAGGCAGAACAAGGTAGAACCTTCCTTTTGGTTTCTTGCAGGACAGCATCAGCCTGCTGCTAGAAGCTGTAAGGACTAGAAATGAGGAGCTGGCACAGACGTGGAAGAAGTCTGAGCAGTGGGCCACCATCGAGCAGCTCTGCAGTAAGTATCCTGTCCCCCAAGGGCCACAGCCAGAAAGCAGAACATGTAGTCCTTCATGCCATGGACTTCTGACTTGGTTGCATCCTGGGTCACACACCCTAAAGCTCAATCTAAAAAGTATCTGCTTGAGTGTGCACAGCTCTGTGAACTGCATAGGTGTATATCTGTATATACACATACACCCGTCTTCACACACCCTAAAGCTCAATCTAAAAAGTATCTGCTTGAACACATAGCATGTGTTTGCCATCTCCATGAAACACTTGGCACCATCTCTCATACTTTGAAGCCTAAAAAAAAAAACCTAATTCACATAGCAGCAAGTAACAGGGTCTAGACCTGTCACCTGCAACAGCTTGTGCCTGAGAGCTCCTTGAGTTCATCTGGACTCACTCTGCTAAAAAATTTTAGTGTGTGATTGTCTGGTCCTGTGTATAGAACTGTCAGTGCAAACTAAGAGAGTTGTTTATAAAACCATAGCAAAACACAAGACATGAGAAACAGATTGAGTGACTTAGGTAAGAGCTCTCTTCTGAAGCTGCCAAGATCCCAGAGAACTGATAAGTGGGAAGCCATGTCACTTTTCTGAGCTGGATCAGTCAGTTTATCTGTAAGGTATCAGTCTTCCCCACAAAACCCCCTATAGACTACTTTTTTCATAAAAATTAGTAAGTTCTAACATCTATGTAGAAATGCAGAGGATCTCTAACGGACAGGACAGTCTTGAGAGACAAGATAGAAGTTAGAGAACTTACTCTGCTTGACTTCAAAGCTGTACCACTTCAGTAATCAAGAAAGTATGGTTTTGGGTAGAGGACAAATAGCCTAATGGGTCAGATAGTCAAGGGTTGATGACAAAGGCACCAGAGCAGTGAGCCCAGGAAAGGATGTAGAGTGTCCTGAGACAGCTAGGTTCCATGTGGTCAAACAGACCTGGAACATGACAGGTCTGTGTCATTCATGGAGACCAGCTCAGGATAGGCTTGGTCCTAAAGATAAGGCCTAACCCACAGAGCATTTATTTGTAATTGAATATCTTCAGTACCTTGGGCTAGGGAAGGTTCTTTTAGATAGGATTCAGGATTTCAGTGTAGGACACAGAAAAACACTGGCTTAAAAAATTCGTAATTGAGCTGGTGTGGTGGTACACACCTGTAATTCCAGCACTCAAGAGGTGGAAGCAGGAGGATCCCAAGTTCAGGGCCACCCTGTGCTACATAGTGAGACCCTGTCTCAAAAATCTAAGGACTGGGGGTGTAGCTCAGTCTGTGGTATAATGCTTGCCTAGCATGTGCAAGGTCCTAGGTTTGATCCTAGTACCACTGGAAGAAAATTGGTAAATTGGATTTTATTAAAATGAAACACTTGGCTGGCAGAGTGACCCAAGTGGTAGAGTACCTGCCTAGCAAGTGTGAGGCCCTGAGTTCAAACCCCAGTACCACCCAAAAAATGTACAATAAAAAATGAAACACTTATGTTCATCGAAGGTCACTATTAGCAACTTGAAAAGGCACAGACAGGAAGACAGTATTTGCAGTGTATACATTCTGTTCCTATCCAGAACAGAATTCTATATATCAACAATAATCAAACAGAAAGAGCTTAAGTAAAAACTGGGCAAAGAACTTAGACATTTGACAAAAGAAGATACAGAAATGGTTAGTATCATTAGTCATCGGTGAATTGCAAGTCAAATTTTATATCAGTACACATTCATCCAAAATGGCTAAAATGAAAACATTTGACAATATCAAGTGCTAATGAGGATGTAGAGTAGATAGAACTCATATCCTGCTGGTGGGATGCTGTACTACTTTTCTCATCACTGTGAGAAAATACTTGTCAGAAACCATCTAAGAGAGGAAGGATTTATTTGGCCTCACAGTTGCAGAAGTTTCAGTGCATGGTTGCTTGGCTCCATGTGCTTTGACAAAACATCCTGGCAGTCATAGTGTGTGGAGATGTAGGCTGTTCAACTTGCCCTGGGCAGGAAGCAGAGCAAAGCAGTAACAGGAAGAGGTCAGGGCAAGGTACAGCCTCCAAGGACACACTTCCAGTGACTACTTCCAACCAGGCCCCATCTTCCACAGTTGCACCACCTCCCAATAATCTATTCAAATTTTAGATCCATCTCAATGCATTAAACCATGTTTAGATCCGAATCCTAATGATCATCTCTAGAAACACCCCCACAGACACACCCGGAGGTGTGCCTTACAATCTCCTAGGTGCTTCTTAACCCACTCAAGTTGACAATCAAATTAACCATCACAGATGCAAAAATGGTACACCACCATGAGAGGTGGGTTGAGTTTCTTAGGAAGCTCAACATATGTTTGCCCTGTGATCCAGCAGTGAGAAATCAAAACACAGATCCACAAAAAGATTATTCAAGAGTGCTATGACAGCTTTGTCTGGAACCACCCAGACATCCATCAGCAGGGGCGTGACGATACTCACATGGAGAGTACTCAGCAACAAAAGGGAAATGCACATGCAGGTGCAAAGCAGGGCAGGCATTTACTAACCAAGGTCCTCACAGTTGATACAGGCAGCACTTTTGGCATGAGCAGTGGGGTTCTTGAGCCGCCCCTGCCTGTGCCTGTGCCATAGAGCTCTCAGGCAGGGTGATGCATCCTTTCTGTACAGACATAATGAGTGCGTGGTTTTCTTTCCACCCTGCAGGCACTGTTGGTGTGCAGCTCCCTGGCCTCCATGAGTATGGAGCTGTCGGGGGTTCTGCACACGCTGCCACCGCTGCCATGTGGGCCTGTCAGCACTGCACCTTCATGAACCAGCCAGGCACAGGCCACTGCGAAATGTGTAGCCTCCCCAGGACCTAGGGCTCCAGCCCTCTGCTGGGTGGAACTTGGCCAGCCCAGTCCTCTCTCAAGCCAGGAGCCCCATGCGTTCCCTGTAAGGCCTGAGGCCCACAGCTCTGAAGGGGCAGGGCTGGCCACCCTGGTGTCTCGGACCTACTGAAGCTTTTTGATGCCAATCCTGGAGAGAAGGAACCCCTGCTGCTGTGCTGGGACTGAACAGAACCTCCCAACTGGAAGCACAGAGTGGCCCCATCCAAGAACACCCCACAAGCCTCACCCAGTTAATAGCCCTCCCACCCCCACTGTGTTGGAAGGACCAGGCACCTCCAAATTATCACCTGAAATGGGGGGTGCAGAGAGGCGTTGCTGCTGCCAACTAGCTTTCTTTTTCCTTCCTTTTGATGCTTTTTGTTCATTGTTCCCCCACCCTGTGTTTTTGGTTGGGAGCTCCTGGCTGCCTCTTGTGTTCTATTGCTTTGGGATGTAGGCCCTGCCTCAAGAGCCACATCCCTCCCATTTGAGGTCTGGTCAGAGCACTGAGGCTAAGCTATGGCCTCCTTGGGTTGACATGCACATTAGTGTGTAGCCTGTTCTCTCACCCAACATCCAGGTGGGATTTTAAAGTCTTTGTTGGTTATAATAACAGTTATCAGTAATTCCTGCCCAGAAAACTTTTATTTATTGTTTTTAAGATAAAACTACACAAAAGGGGAGTGAGAAATTAGTTTCCGCCTCCTTTCCTCCTTCAGTGCAGCCCCTCATGGGTGTTCAGGGAGGTAAGTGAACTGGGGACCACCGTCAGTTCTCTGAAGCAAACCTCAGTGCCTGAGACTTTTCTACCAAGCCACATGGCTGTGGCAGCTGGCAACATGGGTGGCTGAGCAGGAGCAGAGTGGTGGCCCTTGCCTGACGGGCAGCCCTTCCAGATAGCCTGGATGGGCCAGCACTGGGGCTCTGGTCCCCTCCCTCCAACACTGGTCCTCTACTCACAGCCTCCCCATATCCTGGCTTTCTGAGACAGGATCAGGTGAGGACCTCATAGGGCCTCTGTAGGGCCTGCACAGTTGATAATGTCTACACAGTGTCAGGTCCAGGCAATCCAGAATAGCATCCCAGTGGTCTCTTGAGTGTCCCCCATAGCTGGGCCGTGGTCCAGCCCTTTCCCAGGCAAGCTGTGGGCATCTTGATGCCTCTTTGCCTTAACGAGAGCTGAATCAGCTGTGCTACACCCTGGGAAAGGTGGACCTAACCGCTGAAAGCTGAAAGACTTGTGTTTCATCCTGCCCCGCCTGTCCTTCGCCCTATGGATGGAGAATGCTTGCTTGTTGGGCTCTTGTGGCAGGGCTGTGGCCATCATTCCAAGGTCTGCCTGCCATAGGATCCCAAGTCAACGCTGGGTAGCTCATCTACTCCTGGGGCACACTGGGTTTGGTCTGGTCATGGCAGGGCTGTCCTGGAGGGAGGGTCAGGAGTGGTGGAAAGCAGCAAACAGTTTTCTGAGCTGTCTGCTAGCATGCCACAGAGAAGGGCTGTCTGGTTTCCCTCCTGACAGCTTCCTTGGCTGGGGCTTTGCCCTCCCGTCTCACCTGGTCCTTAAGATCAACTGTGAGACTGGATGGCCTGGCACTATTGTACCCATTGTTTACTGTGTTTGCAAGGCTATGGTAGCACTGTTGCCCATCCTGGGCAAGTGCAGTACAGTGTAGACTTTTGGAGTCCTTTCCAACATTGTACCACAGCTTCCTCTCCCACTTTCTCTTGTCTTATACACAAAGCTAGTTTCCTTTTCTCCTCAGCCAATATTTTTCTCACTCTGAAATTCTGGCACACACATAATTCACGTCTTTTGTCTTCTAGCTAAAGAAAAAGTGTTGTGATTTTTCTGCTTATGGTTCTGAGTTGCTCTTTGTTCAGTAATGCACTTTATTTTATTGTCCAAAGAGAGTCAAGCTAATGCTACCAGCTTGGGGTGAGCCCTGCTTCACCTCACATCCCCTGTGGACACCTCTCGTGCCACCAGGCACCATGGCCTAGAGAGGGGTGCCTGAGTGCACACCTGCACCAGTGAGCTCAGTGGCTGCCGTGGTCCCCTCCAGGTGAGGTGGGGTCTGGCCCACCTCTGACTGGCCTGCTCCTGGGACATGGGTGCTGCCGCTTCAGCTCTGCTTTGGGCTCACAGGTGTGCATCAGCTGGGTGTGGACTAGCCTTACCTTGATCCCAGCCCTGCAGTGGAACCTAATAAAAGCGCCTGAAGCGACTGCCCTGCTCCCAGTGTTGTTCCTGTGCCCTAAGCTGTTGTCTGCGGGTTTTGTCTGGCATGTGTTCTGTGTGAAGTGGTTTGTTAAGTCCCTCTTCTCCAGGACGTTACTGTCCTATATGTTTGGACTATTTCAGGGTATGACCCAACTTCCCTACCTATCACTTCTCTGCCCGGGCTCCTGGGCAGTGTTCTTCCAGGTTGGTGTCCATGTGGAAGAGAGTAGCCTGGCCTCCCTGAGGTGCTTTTTCTGCCTCTTCCCTTCCCAACAGCCACGTGGCTGCCCCTGGGTCTCTGCATTGTGGACAGGTGCATGTGTCCAAGCAGCAGGTAAAGGACAAAGTCCAGGCAAACCCATGCTGTACAGTGCAATGCGGAGTGAGACCTGGGGACTGATTAGTGCCTTCCCTTTCACTGAACCTTTTTCCTGTAGACAATCAGGATACCTTCACCATAATTCTCTCTATGACACCAGTCTTGAATCAGGGTTCAGCACCATACAAGCCATCTCGCCAGATGACTCACTACTCCCTATGACACTACTACAAGACAAAAACTGAAAACGGGTCTGAAAGTTCCCTGGGGTGAGGCACCTTGGGCCTTGGGGCTACAAAAGGGTAGGAAGAATAGTTAGTTGTCCCCTATCTGCTGAGATGTGAGGCAGCTTTTAGCACCCATGTAGCACAGCACGCCAATGCTTGTACATGCTCAGCCCTGGGGAGGCATGTGCGTGTGCATGCATGAACGTGTGTGAGTGTGCTCAGACTGCTGAACTGCAATGATCCAGCCAGTGCTTAGGGCCTGTGAGGAAAACAGAAAACCCTCCTGTGAAGCCAGGCACCAGTGGATCACACCTCTAATCCTAGCTACTCCGGAGGCTGAGATCCAGAGGATTGTGGTTCAAAGCCAGCCAGCAGGGGCAAAAAGTTCACTAGAACCCTCATTCACCCCCTACCCCATCTCAACCAGTAAGCAGCTAGGGATGGTGGCACACAACTGTCATCCCAGCTAAGGCAGGAAGCATAAGTGAGGAGGACTGAGGTCCAGGCTGCCCTGAGCAAAAAGCAAGACCCTATCTTCAAAGTAACCTGAGCAAAAAGGGCTAGAGGCGTGGCTTGAGCAGCAGAGCAACTGTCTAGCAATCTAGATATCCTGATTTCAAACCCCAGTATGGAAACAAATGAACAAAACCCTCCTAAGAGAGGAACTGGAAGTCCCTAGTGTCCTCCAGAGTGCTACCAGCAATGTGGTATTGGGACATACTCCAACTACCACCCCACCCCCCCAAATCAAATTGTACTGCTTGGACGCAGTACAGTTAGGACTCCTGCACCCTTAGGCCCTCACACAGGTTTGTTTTTTTTAATTTTTATTTTATTCATATGTGTATACAATGGGTCATTTCTCCCCCTTCCCCAACCCCCTCCCTTAACCCCCCCACCCTCTCCCTCTCCCCCCCTACCCCCTCGCTACCTGGCAGAAACTATTTTGTCCTTATCTCTAATTTTGTTGAAGAGAGAGTATAAGCAATAATAGGAAGGACCAAGATGTTTTTGCTAGTTGAGATAAGGATAGCTATACAGGGAGTTGACATGCATTGATTTCTTTCACACAGGTTTTTTTTTTTTTTTTTTTTGCTGGATGTTTGTGCACAGCCTGCAGTTTCCACCACACTCCATAGTTCCTCTCCATCGGCCTGATGTTAGACTTGTTTATCAACTCACTTTAGTAGTTAGTCCTGAGGGGGTGATGGGGCCTCCCAATTTGGCAGAGATGTACCAATCAGCAGCTTGCTCTGCTGTCCTGCAGGCTCCCAGCTAGGGGTGTGTGCAACTTCCATTCCCTTGACAGAATGTGACTCACCCCAGGTCTCCTGCTTAGAGGATGCTGTTCGTGATCAGAAATCCTTGAGTTACAGTAGGGGGCTGGATGGGAGCCAGGGGCCTACTAGCCCCTGGAGTTTTTGTAGTGGAAAAGAGTGACCCAGAACAAGGCCTGTTCACTTCCCACATGCACTTCCACCCCTGTATGGCCGCTCTCTAGGACAATCTTGGCCTGCTTTACTCCATATTGGAGCGGGAGGACTGGTGGGAACTGATGTGTTCGCAGGTGACTCAAGGATGGGGACGGTCTCAGAACATTACAAACCAGCTGAGGATGCTTATACACTGTGGGAAATCGTGAGTGATAAGCTTCCAAGAAGGAATGTGTCCTCGTCATTGTGTTTCCCATTCTGTAGCACCCAGTCCCGCAGCATCAAAAGCAGTGTTTGCACCAAGTTACCTTCAGAGTAGCCCTGGATACAGCAAGGGTTACACTCAACCCAAAATCAGAGCAATGGGGACTGGCCCACCTCAGCCTCAGCGTGGGATTAGGACTTTACAATTGGTTGTGTTTTGGCAGGACTAGGCTATGTCCAAGCCCAGGGGACATTATGAGAGTGGCCCCTTCAACATGCCATGCCTGGCTATGCTCCAGACACCTCACTTGTTCCTGGATGTCTGGCTTCCTGAACTTTTCAGGTGCACTTTCTTACCAGAGACAGTCAGTATGTAGCCCAGGCTGGCCCCAAATCATCTATCAGCCTCCTGACTGGCTGGAATTACAGGTGCCCACCACCACACCCAGCCTCATTGGTGTTCTGAAAGGATGGTGAGTTCTTGCTCTTTCACTTAGGGATGCTCTTGGCCTTGGCTCTCTCCTGGGGCAAGTGGAGAGAGCTGTCAGAAGTGGAGGTGTCTCTCCTGGGAGGTTGGCTCACCCTCATCCTAGGCTCTTTGCTGTCCTCTGCCTGCAACCCAGAAATCTCCTGGGCTTATTCATATCTCCGTGTGTTCAAGTGTGAAGGGAAGGGCGCTCTTGCTTGCCTAGCTAAAAACCCTACTGTCCCAGGTATGGGGTCCTGCATGGGGTGGCTCAGCGGGCAGACGGAAGAGCTTCAACCCCAGGCGCTGTGGATGAGGAGAGCTGGTGCCACCCCACATCGCCCCCGACCCCGCTGGACTCCTCGTTACCCTCCCAAGCCGAATCACAAAGGCGGGATGTGGCCGGCCCTGCGCGCGCCCTCGCTCCAGAACAGCCTCTGCTCGCCAGGACGTCTTCCCCAGCGCGGAGCCTCCAAGGGCCCCACGAACCTGGCCTGGGCCTGGGCGGACCCTGCCATGCGCGCCATCCCGTGGCAAGGCAGGTGCTGTTGCTCCGGACCCCGCCCAGGACGGCCTCCCCTCCTGCGTTTCGCTGTAGACACGCTGGCCCTCTGCTAAACCGCTGCGTCCAGTCGCTTGTGGAAGCAGCGTGACCTGTCCAAACAGGCAAGGGCTCCAGCGCAGCTCGGCCCGGCCCCGCCCCCGCCCCGCCTCCGGATCGGCCCCGCCCCCGCAGCGCGGGTTTACGGCGGAGGCCGTGCTGTGCCGTGGGCGGCCGTAAACCGCCGGAGGCGGCACCGCCCCGCCGGGCTCCGCTCTGGCCGGCCGCCCGCACGATGGCCGGCGCCGCGCCGCGCGTGCACTACCTCGCTGGCTTCTCCTGCCCGCTCGGGGGCCTGGCGGCGGGCAAGCCCCGCGTACTGTGCCACGAGGCGGAGGTCTTCCTGTCCACCGGGAGCAAGTTCGTCTACGTGTACGACCAGGAGGGCGGGCTGCTGACTGTGAGCGCCGGGCCATGGACGGGCGGGCGGGTGGGTCCGCTCAGAAGTGAGACCGGGGCTGCGCGCGCGTGCGTCCGGCCTGACCGCGCTCTCCTGGCACCCAGGCGGTGTACCAGTTCCCCGACCAGGTGTGGCACCTGCAGCTCCTGGCCGTCCACAGGGCGCTCTACGTTCTGTGCGCCCGGAGGGGCATCTACTGCCTGGCGCTGAACACACCGAGCAGGTGAGGGGTGGGCGTGGTCCTGTGCGTCCCTAGCGCGCCGTAGACGCCGGGTCCGTGGTGTGTGGCCGGAGCGGCCTGCTTGGCGTTGACTTCCTTACGCATCCCCTGTGAACTGGTTCAGAGAGACGACCCCATTCTAAGCGCGTGGAGATGGTGTCTGGGGCCCACTGGGCTGCACTTGGATCTCTCTCCCCAGCATCTGTGCACCAGGCAGCCACGTTCCCAGAGTCTTCGGGGGTTCAGGTGGTGAAGTCTGCAACCAGGGAGCAGGGCTGTCCTTGGCCTTGTGGGCCCCTCCAGCAAACCCTTAGAGGTGGCTGTCAGGAGGAGGAGGGGTCTTTGGTTGACAGCAAAGGCCCTGTGTGCAGCTCAGACTACCCTCTCTGTGTCAATCCTATCGGGATGAAAATTGTCCGTCTGAGCCCTGTTTAAAGCAGCCTGGTACTCTGTTTCATGTGTACTGAGCAGTCAATAGGGCAATGAGAGACTGTATGGGCAGATGCCCTATTGAGTAATTGACAGTCACCAAGGGGACCCTCAGGAGCATTCCCTGTGAAGACCCTTGCCCAGCCTGCTTCAAGGCAGGTAATTGTGAGCAGACCTGTGAGTCTTCCCTGCCCAATCCTGACTACGTTTCCATTGTTCCAGAAGGTCTGCAAGCCAGGCCCATGAGGACAAAGAGGACAGAGAGGACGGTGAACTCCCTTCCCCTGTGATCCCTGTGGACCCAGACACCTGTGTCCTCCCAGATGCCACACTCTGTGCCTTCACCGTGCTTGGTGATGTGCTTGTCACTCTGGTGCAGGGTCCCACCCAGTGGAAGATGCAGCTGTTTGAGCGTCCCTGTCCAGGGGAGGACCCCCGGCCAGGAAGCCTGGTTGGTGAGGTGGAGTTGTCCACCAGCACCCCCCCATCTGGTGTCCCAGGGAAGCCTGCAGTCCCCTACTTCCTGCCAGTGCTGTGCTGTGTTTCACCGCCAGGCTCCAGGGCACCCCACAGTCACCCCCAGGACTGTGGGGGTGTCATGCTAGAGGAGGCCCTCTTTGGCCTACTCTTTGGAACTGACGCCACCCTCTTGGAGTCACCTGTGATCCTCTGTGGTCTCCCTGATGGCCAGCTCTGCTGTGTGGTCCTGAAGGCCTTGGTCACCTCCAGGTCAGCCCCTGGTGATCCAAAGGCACTTGTCAAAATCCTCCATCACCTGGAGGAGCCTGTTGTCTTCATTGGGGCCTTGAAGACAGAGCTGCTGACCGAGGAGGCTGCAGGAGGGGTGCTGCCCAGTGAAGATGAGCACTCCGACTGCCTGGTGGCCCTTGGTCACCAGGGCCGGACACTGGCCATCAAGGCTAGCTGGAACGAGTCTGGGAATTTGGTGCCAGAGCTTCGAGAGTACTGCCTCCCAGGACCTGTGCTCTGCGCTGCCTGTGGAGGGGGAGGCCGCATGTACCACAGCACCCCCTCAGACCTCTGTGTGGTGGACCTGGCTTGGAGAGGCACACCCTTGGACTCCCAGCAGCCTGATGGGGCCTCAGGAAGCCTGCCCCCCATGCTATCCCCAGCTAGCTTGAGCATCTGCAGTGTCCTCACACTGTCTGTGTCATCCAGGGAGCCTGCAGGTATGAATTGCTCTTTAAATATGAAAAACCAAAGCCTTGGGGTGGGTCCTCACTTTTGGCAGTATTCCCCCATGAGCCAGCCTGTCTTCCTATTCCTGGCTTCCTCCAGCATTCTCTAACGTGGCAGGTGTAGGTTTGTCCTCACTGGCACAGCCTGGTGATTCATTCAAGGGTCAAGGAACCTGTGTGTCTTTCCTGGTCTCAGGGTCAGGGGTGTTGCTCTGCCTAGGTGGGCTTTGGCCCTGGCTTAAGTAGCAACTCAGAGCATGTTGCCTGTGGGGTCAGTGCAAGAGTATCTCCCTCAGCAGGTCTCAGATGAAGTCAGACCAAGGCCTTCACATGGATTAAAGGGCTGGGACATGCCTGCTCGAGCCACCCATGGCCTGTTTATCAGCTACTCTGGACCAAAGGCAGAGGACGTCTCAGGAGTTCTCAGGCTAGAGGGTTTTAGCTATATTTGCTCATCATTAGGTTGAAAGGAGGACAGCCCCCTTCCCCTGAGTGTTTTCCCACTGGGTAGTCTGTGAGCACACTAACAGACCCTACTCAGAAGAACACAAGAGAAATGCTTTGAAGGGAAAAGCCAAGCTATTGTAGGAAGATGGGGCACCTGTGAGCTGACCATCAGCTGTTCAGCTGCCCACCTAGGTGGATTTCACAGCCAGAGCTATGTTGGAGTAGGGGACAGGCAGGTCCTCAGCAGGGGCATCTTCTGTCTCATGGCGCTCCCTGCAGCCAGCAACTGGGAAGGGGGCAGGAGGATGCTTCCAGACAAGTGCCCCATGAGAAAGTGAGTGGTGCTCGGCCTACAGGTGGTACTTCTCTTTGGAAGAACTCAGAGCAGTCGCGCTGGGTTGAAGACTGAATCACGCCCAGCAGATTCGGTGGCATACAGTGTCCTCATTTGCCCTGTTCTGTCCATGTCCACTGTGCCCAGTTGCCACCATGGTGCTATCTTTGCTGTACTGATATTTCAAGGAGGCCCTTCAGAATGTGCGTGAAAGACCCATGGGCAACATCTCTGTCCAACCCCGGGGGCAGCATGTTTCTCCTCAGGGCCTTCTTTTCCTCCCTCAGACGCTGCCTTGGCCTTCTCCTAACACTTGTGCTGGAGCCCAGGGCAAATGCTGCTGGACCTCGTGCCTGGTAGCTGTCTCCAGCCTGCTGACTGGCTCTTCATGTGTCTGTCATCAGGTGGCACCAAGCTCCTGGCCCTGTCTGCTAAAGGCCGCCTGATGACCTGCAGCCTGGACCTGAACTCTGAGATGCCTGGTCCTGCCAGAATGACTGCAGCAAATGCAGGCCAGAAAATTAAGGAGCTGCTCTCTGGCATTGGCGATGTCTCTGAGAGGTGAGCAGTGGTCTCCAGCTCAGATAGAGCTGGTGCTGTATTCTTGGAAGGTGCCATCCTGGGCTGGAATGTCCTCAGGTAGTGACAGTCTATGTGGTTGTCACTCTGGCTCTGTCAGTGCCCAAGAGGCTGCACCAAAGCTCTTGGAGGATGAGATGACACCCTTCCTCTCAGCCCCACCCCCTTTCCTTGGCCAGGCACAGGAGCCTTCTGGTATAATTCCTTGCCTGCCCCATGCAACTCCCTCCAAAGCCTCTGCCCTCCTCTCTTTTTCCCCATCCATCGTTGGTACTGGCCATGGAACAGAGAGTGAACACGCTCCAGAGTCAGTCCAGCTCCTCTTGCCTCCTGGCTCCTAGTCCTAGAGCTGGTGTTCTATGGGCTCTAGGTCCCTGTGGCTGGGGCTATTTCTACAGTTTCTGCCACCCCACTGTCAGTATGGAGCACTGCCAAGGAGAAAAAGGACTGCCTCACACATTTGCAGTGGCCTTGGTTTCCAGACCAGTCAGTCAGAGGCACCACTTGGCCCTGAGGAGCTGACATTGGTGGCAGGTTCGGGGTAGCACATTGACACTGAGCACAGCCTAGTGTGTCAGCTCGGTCTTCTGTCCTGCTTCCTGCGTCCAAGAACAGAAGTTGGATCGTGAAGCCGAAAGCAGCTTCCAAAGGACTTTGGGCATAAGTGGAACGAGGAGAGAGATGTTCCCTGACTGGAGACTTGTGGAACTGCTTCCCCTTGAGCCTAGGGACATGGCTCTGTCCTCTGTGGTTCTTCCCTTTCCCAGTGCCGTGTCTACTCTTTGCAGAGTGTCTTTTCTGAAGAAGGCAGTTGACCAGCGGAACAAAGCCCTGACAAGCCTCAATGAAGCCATGAATGTGAGCTGCGCCCTGCTGTCCAGCCGGGAGGGTCCCCAGCCCATCTCATGCACCACCACCACCGCCTGGGGCCGCCAGCAACTGCAAGACATGCTGATGGCCACTTGCCTACTGGAGAACAACAGCAGCTTCAGCTTGGACCAGGGCTGGACCTTGTGCATTCAGGTGCTTACCAGTTCTTCTGCCTTAGCCCTGGACACGGCTGGATCCACTGTCACCTACACCATCCCAGTGGACAGGCTCAGCCCTGGCAGCCAGCGGGAGGTGACACTACCCCTGGGCCCTAGTGAGAATGGTGTGCTGGACCTGCCTGTGACTGTGTCCTGCACGCTCTTCTACAGCCTCAGGGAGGTAGTGGGTGGGGCCCTGGCCCCTTCAGACCCTCTGGAGGACCCCTTTCCGGAGGAGTACCCCGTTGACCTCCTGCCTGAGCAGGAGGGTATCTGCCTGCCTCTGAGCAAGCACACAGTGGATATGCTGCAGTGCCTGCGCTTTCCAGGCCTGGCCTCACCACATGCACGGGCATCCTGCCTGCCTGGCCCTGCTAGTGACCCTGTGGACACCTTCCTGGAAACCTGCCGGCCACCAGGCAGCGAGCCAGCTGGCCCTGCTCCCTGCGCGCCAAGTATCTACCCCCATCCTCGGCCTCCATCAAGGTGTCAGCGGAGCTGCTCAGGGCTGCCCTGGAGGACGGTCACTCAGGTTGGTGGCAATGACTGGCTTTGCTCCAGGCTCACGGCCTCAAGGTCAACGGATGTGGGTTGTTCTTCCCTCTCCCAGCGGCTCCTGGGGCAGCGTTGTGTCTGCAGCCCTCCAGGTTCTGCCGCGTCCTAATTGCTGTTGGAGTCTTGTGTTGCATTGCCCTGCCGCCGTGTTTTTCTTTTGTGTTTCTTAAAACTGTGTAGAGCATGATCTAAACACAAGCAGACACGTCACCAGGGAGCAGCTAGGTGAGTTTTCTCACAGCGAGAACCCAGGGAAGCAGCTGTCCCAACGCCAAAGCCCACAGCAGTGCTCGAGGGGACTGTAAGCTGTGCGTCTACTCTCTGTGTCTCACTTTTGCTCCCGCTGTGTGTGAAGCCCTTTGTGTGTGTGGCGTTGGATCTTGTGGCAGAACAGTGTTCTGTTTGTCAGTGTCGCTGCTCTGCTTCCAGTGGGCATTGGGTAGTTTCTGGGTGTGGTCTTGTACAGTGAGGGTAGCCACAGCCATCACTGCTGAGCCTTTCTGTATGAGCCAGTGTGGAACTTCATGCTTTTAGGACCGGCCACCCTGAGCCTTGCAGGGCCTCCCGCACGTGAGGTGTTCACCTCCAGTTACCCGATTTCTACCCCACCACCTCCTGCCTCCTTTCCTCTTCATTAGCTGCCCAGCTCCCATCTTGGGTGGGGCTGTGGGCAGTTGGGACACTTGAGGTAGCCCTGAGAGGGAAACATTTGAGGGTGGCCACTTGGATGCTATATAATAGGACCTTCCTGGTACCTCTTCTCCAGGTGTTCCCCTGTGCAGTGCCACCCTGCAGTGGCTCCTTGCTGAGAATGTTGCTGTGGACATCGTAAGGGCCCAAGCACTGTCGTCCATCCAAGGAGTGGCCCCAGATGGTTCTGACATCCACCTCATCGTCCGTGAGGCAAGCAGGGGGTTGGTTCACCTGGCCTCGTGTCTGAAATTCTCAGTGGGATCCCTGACCAGTGCCTTTGCGGAATTGGATCCCTAACACAATCCAATTCTGTCTTATCACAGGGTCCCCTCCCTTCAGCATCCCTGTAGTCACTAATGACCACTAGTGGTGCTGGGTAACCTAAGAGTAGCTGACCTGCTAGACCACCAGAGGGCGCCAGGCACCCTCTGAGAAGATAAAGTGGGGCTTCCTGTCTCCCAGCCTTTCCCTCTCACACCTCCTTCCAGGCCCTTCCAGTAGGCCTCGCATCCCACCGTCAGAGGCCCTTGCAGAGTAGCTCTTGCCGCCTGACCGAAAATAGTGGATGTATGATCAGGGGTCCTTAGAATGAAGTCATTCCACCCAGGTGTGCCTAAGCCTGGCTGTCCACTGCACAGCCCTTTCAGATCAGGCAAATCTGGACTAGCATCCAGATCAGGGTATTCCTGGGCCAAGGCTAGGCCTAGCAGCAGCTCTGGGTAATGTAGGGGATGCTCGTAGGCCTGTGACAGAGCCATTGGTGACCAAGGCCTTCCTAAGATCCCCAAGCCCCAGCATTTTGCCTCACATCCTATGTGTGAAGAGCAAACTAAGGTCTCCCAGCTCCTGGACTGTGCAGCTCAGCACAGTTGTAACCTCCTGGCGATGCAGTGCTGGCCCATGGATAGGCTCTGCAGCTCCAGGTTCATGCCCAGCACCGTCACCCAGATGCCACAGGAGCCATGGCCCTACTCCCCTTCAGATGACCTTCAAGGTTATAGACCAGGACTGGATGCAGCTCCAAAGTGAGGCAGCTTCCCGAAGACTGGATTTCTGAGTCTTCCAGAATCTATCCTGTCTCCAACAAGTAGATTTCTTGCCAACGGCTCTTAGCTGGTTCTCTAGGCCAGGATCCTTTTTCCCCTGCCTGATGCCTTTCAGGGGAAAGAGGGGTAGTCTAGTCAGGGTGCTGGGGCCACCAAGGGCCTTGCCTGCTGACTTGGGAGGGTCTGTGTAGCCTGAGCCCCCGAGAGGCAGAGATGCTGGCAGTGAGGGTCCTCATATTGCAGGTGGCTGTGACGGACCTGAGCCCCGCAGGGCCCATCCAGGCTGTGGAGATCCAAGTGGATAGTTCCTCTCTGGCTGACATGTGCAGGGCACACCATGCCATCGTTGGGCGCATGCAGGTATGGTGGCCAATATGGATCATGTGGGAAGGAGACTATGAAAGTTGTGGGCAGCTGGCCTAGTTCCCTATCTGGGCCCATGCAGCTATAGCAGCATGGTCTATGAACACCTGTAAAAGAGGCATGAGGGTGAGCCCCTCCCTCCCAGCAAGCAGATGCCGCCCTCCAGGTGTGCTGTCAGTGTTACCCTCTAAGGCCTGCCTGAGCCCATGTGGTGGGTAAGTTTCTTCTGGTTACCTGCCAAGTCAGCCTGACATGTCCTCACTTCTCTGACAAAAAGGGGATGCATGAAAAACCTGAGCCCTGAGCGTGGATTCTAGGACAAGGTGTCTGCTCTGAGGGTTTCATGGGTGCAAGAATAAGCCGCTTTGGTGCTGTGCCCAGAACCTGGTCAGGTCAGCAGCTTCCAAGTCTGAGAAGCTCCCGTGCTCTGAATAAGTCTAACTAGTGCCCAGCAGAAAGGCCTCTGTCCAGAGCCTCCACCTTTGTGACTGTGGTGTAGCTCTGGTCCTTTTTGGTAGTGTCTTGTAGTGGCCACTCAGCCAGTTTTGCAGTTCTTGATGGTGGCCCTCCATCACACTCACCTGGGAACTTGTTTTCCCTGAGCATCAGGACCTGCCATCTGACAGCTGCTGGGACCATGGTGTGCCACAGTGCACCATGAACAGAGGCCCTGCCCCAGCCAGGTGGGAGGCTAGCTGATGTCAGCACTGGAAGGTCGGCCCTCATGATCTCCCAGCATGTGACTCTCATGACCTTGTCCCATATCACAGCCTTCAGGTTCACCCTTTTGCTGTGATGCAGTATACTGTATGTGCAGTACGTGCTCCATGCCTGGGTTCAGGAGTTCAGTCCTCATGCTGTGAGCTGGCAGGTGGTCTCCAAGCAGTGGTGCCACCTGTCAGAGGAGGTTCTGCCCATGGAGTCAGCCAGAGTCTAAGAACTTGGGTCACTGTGTCCAAGTATCCCCTCTAATAAGGACAAGTCACATGGGATCAGGGACAACCTAGTGGCCTTACCTGGATCATCAGCAAAGATCTCATTGGAAAGTGTGTCACTTTATGTGAATCTGGGAACACAGCTCAGCCCTGATGTGCCCAGGGGCAGGAGTGTTCTCCATACAACCCACACCTGTTTCCAGGATCTCGCCCAGGTGTGTGGCTTCCACATGGGCCAGCTCTTCCTGCAGACACTTGGCCCTCAGGAGGCAGCTTTACCCCAGGGGCCTGTGCTCAATCCCTGAAGACTGACAGGGACCTCGCTGTCTAGACCCCTTGGGCATTTAGCAAGCTGGGCAACCAGCCCCAAGCTGCTGAGTGAATAAGCAAATGGGCCGAGAGGGGCCTCCCTGAAGCAGTGAGAGTCCTTCCCTGCCCTAAAGCTGGCCTGAGCCACAGATGGAGCAGCAGAGGGAAGGTTTAGATCAGAACTGTGGCTCACACCTGTAATCCTAGCTACCTGGGAGGCTCAGACTCAGAGGATCGAGAACCCAAAAAAAACAGAGCAAAATGGACTAGGGGTATGGCTCGAGTGGTAGAGCACCTGCTTTGCAAGTGCAAAGCCCTGAGTTCCACCAAAAAAAATGCTCTTTGGGGATGAGTGGAGGGAAAAGAACCAAATAGAAACATGTAAGTTAACTGTCAGGTGGGAAGGAGGGAATCCTCAAAGAACAACATAGAAAATACTGCAAGGGCCGAGGGAGTGGGCTGCTGCAGAGATCCAGGGCCAGTAGAGCTGGCAGGCCAGGAGGGAGGTACAAATAAGGAGTATCCAGATGCAGGGGTCCACCAGCATCTGCCATCCCCCTTGTGTCTCCCAGACAATGGTCACAGAGCAAGCTGCCCAGGGATCCAGCCCGCCTGACCTCCGCATACAGTATCTCCGCCAGATCCATGCCAACCACGAGGTGAGCCCCACTGCCTTGAGCAGTGAGGGGTGTTCCTGGCCTGAGTACCAGCACCCAACTGGTCCAGTCACTGGGTGTGGACTCGCCTCCCTAGGCAAAGTAGATGGGGTCATGTCTGTCTCCTGCCTGACTTGTTCCACCTGTGTCTCTGGCCATGCCCACCTGTCCAGTGTCCCACGTTTAAGGTCACGTGCTCATTGTTTGTTTTTGGACCACCCTCCTGCAGGCACTACTGCGTGAAGTCCAGGCCCTGCGCGACCGGCTGTGCACAGAGGACGAAGCCAGCTCCTGTGCCACAGCCCAGAGGCTCCTGCAGGTGTACAAGCAATTGCGCAACCCCAGCCTCACCCTGCTGTGACCAGGTGAATCCTGGGCCTCTGTCCACACTTCCCTAGCCCACTCTGAAAACCCACAGAGCCCTCATGCTTTCATAGAGGAAGAGCTATAAATGAAAGGCTACTCTTATCCGGGCACTGGTGCTCACGCCTGTAATCCCAGCTACTCAGGAGGCAGAGATCAGGAGGATCGCGGTTCAAAGCCAGCCTGGGCAAATAGTTCACAAGAGCCTATCTTGAAAAATCCTTCACAAAAATAGGGTTGGTGAAGTGGCTCAAGGTGAAGGCCCTGAGCTCAAGCCCCAGTACTGCAAAAAAAAAAAAGAAAGGCTACGGTTTTGTCCCTTTTGGAGGCCATGCCTCCTGGCTAGAGCCATGGAAGGCTAAGAAGAGCTGAAGGAAATGGGTGTGAGGCAGACTGCAACAGTGTCTCAGTTAGCACTCACTCTTTCTCTTCCTCCTGACAGCTGCTGGCCAGACTTGTCACTGCTGGGTGCTCTTCCTGCCCGAGCACTGGGGCTCGTCCTGCTCATCCACCAGAAGTTCTGGACCTCTGATGGGGAGCATTGTTGCCCAAGCAGGCTGTAGAGGGTTTCTGGGGTCCAGGCTTAGGGAGAGTTTGGGACTGTGTTGTTGCTGCTGTTCCTTCCACACCCTGGAGCACCTCCTGCCCCTCTGGGGCAGGTGGACGGGTGCTCTCTTCGACCAAAGCACAAAGACCGGGTGAGGGCTCCTGCAGGTGCCAGTGTGCCTGTGACTGGGGCTGCACCCAGCACTGTGTGCTGCTTTCAGGGTCACTCGGGGAAGGGGGAGCGCAGCCCAGGGCAGACCTGTGTCCCAACCCCCTGCCTCCTCCCTCGGCCAGTCACTGCCTGGCTGCTGGTGCTGTTTTCCCTACTGGGGCAGTGGGGCATGGTCATGCATGTAGACTTGGTGGAGCTTTGTGCTCACTTGTGTTGTAAGTGCGTCTTCTACGAGTGCGTGCAGGCACCGAGGTGCTCTGCTAACAGGTGACCCTTTCTACTAACTCCAGGTCTGGGCTGGTTTTTCTTACCCCTCCTGCCCGCACCCTCTCCCCACCTGGGATGTGGACCCAGGCCCGATTTCTCCTTGGCCCAAGGGCAGGAGGTCCTGCAGTGGGGATGCCCCTCAGTATCTCTGGGAGGGCTGAGACTGCCAGCTCTTCCCACTGTTGCTTCCAGCTTCTCTCTCAGAGCTTGTCCATCCTAGGAGGCAGAGGGTTCTCCAGGGAGGAGGGGATGGGGAGTGGGCCTACTTCTGAGACACACTGGAGCCTTCACCAGGCCTAGCGTCTTCTGGCCTGCTAAAGGCCCCATCCACAGCTGTCCTCAGAACCACTCTCCTGTCACCTCCCAAGAGGAAGCCTTCCAGCACCAGCCATTGTCCAGCGCTCATGTCTGAGCACCACTGGGCACGATGGCCCACAGGACATGCAGGGCCTACCCCCACCTGCCTTGGAGAAGAGAGCCATGTTCTAAGCTATGCTGGCTTCTGCCTGTCAGGCTTGACAGCTCCCAGTGTTCTCCCCAGTGACCATGGCAGGATGCAGGGGTCCAAACCCTGAGATCTTGGTTTTCTACATGGCTCACCTTCCTGGACCCCACTGGCTGCTATCCAGTCTTGTCAGCCTTGCTGGGCATGTGGATGTGCAGACTCTGAAAAAGGCTCACGATCTGGGCTTTGATTTGCTGTCATTGGCACTGCTAGACCCAGTGGGGCTCAGCACCAAGTGGGGACAGCTGCCAGAAATGGACCTGTGGCTATGCTGGTGTTGGTTGGAGTGTTGTCCAAGGTAGCTCTTTAGTGTGTAGGACAGTGGAGTGGCGCGTAGGTTACCACCATTCAGTCTGCTGTCCCCATCTTGCCCAGCCCTTCCCTGACACTGCTGTCCACGTCAACTGTGCCCAATCTCTAGGGACACTGCAGGCCACAGGACAGCCTGGGCTGAGAGCTTAGACTCTTGGGATCACCTAGCCCACTCAGGACTCATCTTCCAAGGGATGACAGGGACCCCTCCTGACATATGACCCTCTAGGGAAGCCAAGGTCAGGCCCTTCCAATAAATAAGAGGGAGGGGGAGGGCAAGCAGCAAGTAACTCTGCCCCAACCACGTGTGACCCCACCTTCCCCGAGCCCATTCTGCTCCTTGCTTCCTCCCGGGCTGACTCATCCACTACTGGGGCTCACCTCCCCTGGCAATGGACTCACTGGAGAGGACATTGGGCCCTAACAGGGTCAGGGGCTGCCCAGGTCAGCTGAGGGTAGAAGTGCCCTCCCTCAGCTTCCAAGCTATGTGCCAAGCCATGGCAGCAGCTGGGGCAGAGCAGTGGCTGTCGGGGACAGGAGGCATTGTCTGCTGGACTCTTCTTCCAACCACTGTTCTGAGATGGAAGATGGGGCAGGAAAGGGTAGCAACGGTAGCCAGAGGATGCAGGAAGGGGCTTCCCCGCGACAGGGTCCCAGTGCTAAGCAACGGCGCAGCTTGGGCTGCGGGGGTCTCCAGAGGTGCAGACCCTCCAGCGCCCCTCCCACCCTCAAGCAGCGCTCAGAGTCCACGGTAGCTGCGCCGACGCGCACGGTTTAATGCGGGGCGGGGCGCGCGCGCCCGCTGGCCCTCAGTACTCCCAGAGCGCGCTCCCGGCGGGCAGGTCGGCGTCGGCGCGCAGCAGCCCCGAGGCGCCGCCGCGCAGGTACTTGCCATTGAGGGCGCGGATGGCCAGGCGGCCGCGCTCCCGGAACTCGAAGAGGAAGTCCTCGGCCAGCTCGCCATCGCTGCACACGCTGCCGTGGCTGCCGGTGTACCAGAACCCGCCGCCGCGGCCTGAGGGCGAGCCGGGGTTGGTGGGGCCTCGGCGCGTCCCCCTCCGCCCCGCGCCCCGCGCCCCGCGCCCCGCGCACCTCGGATCTGATAGGCGCCGTCGCTGAAGCTCAGGTGGAAGACGTCGTAGGCCGAGCGGTTGGTGTCCAGCTGGTTGGAGCCGCGGCGGTGGCAGACGAAGCCGTCCAGGCCGCGCAGCACCAGGATGGGCCGGTTGATGAGCTTGAGGATGAACTCCTCATCCGCGCTGCGGGAGAGGGCGCTGTGGGGCCGCCCTCCGCCACCGTCCCCGTCCAGCCCGGGCGAGGGTCCTGGAGAGAGCCAAGCCCTGCCATTGCCGCCTGTGCAACTTTGACAAGGAGCCAGCGGGCTCCCCGGAACCGAGAGTCCTCAAGCGCGTGGGGAGTTAGAGGCGCCCAGGGTTCTCCAGGGGCGCAGAAAAGGCCAAACGGCCCGGGAATCGGCCCGCTCCCGGGGGATCTGGAGTGCCGAGTGCAACTGTGGCCACTGGCAGCAGTCACTTGGGAGGGGAGATTGGGTCTCTGAGCCGGCAGTGACCCTGAGTGGAGAGCCCGCCCCGGTCCCCAGGAGTGCTCACCCACAAAATCACTGATGGCCGCCAGCTGCCCGTTTTTCTTCATGCACACATAGCGACCATTGCTGGCTTTGAGTGCTACCCGCCGGCCTCGCCATTCCATCTCAAACATGGTGTTGGCAGAACTGATGAGAACAGGGCAGGATCTCCTCAGAGTAGAGGAGATGGGGTGCAGAGCCTGGCTTCCCCATGTCCCGCAGGTTGCAGGGGTGGATACACCCACCACTCCTACCCCCACACTGTTACAGCCTTCCCCTCTGGGCTGCAACAGAGGACCTAGTGGTAGGGGGTACTGATGGTCGTGGTGGAGGCAGGGACGGGAGCACTCACATTTGTGTGGCTATGGCCTGGATGCCCCCATGGGTGACCAGGGTCCAGTAGCCCCCAGTGCTGGAATAGAAGGTACATTTCTTTGTCTCCTGGTCAATCTGCATCAGGAAGGTCTCATGGTCCAGTTCTTCATCCTGATTGGCTGAGACGTTGACCCCTGGAGGGAGAAGATGGGGAAGCCCCTCACGCCTCTCCTGGGGGGCAAGGGTTGAGGAGTCATGCTTTTGGGGTACCCCTGAAGTCAGCATCTTGTCTAGAGCCTCTGAGATTTGGGAAGGCATATTTTGGGGGGCTGAGAACTGTACTGCAGGACCGCATGCCCACTGGCACACCCACACATGGCTCCTAAGGGATCCCTGATTTGGCTCTTCCCACACCCCCAGAGCCTTACATGCCAGCAGATCTCCCCCCCACACCCCGGCACTAATCTGCTTGTTTCTGCTTTCCTGACCCAGACTTACACCAGCTTCTATTTATAACTCACCGCTAAGCTGCCAGGTGGCTACAATGGGGTCTCCTTCCTTCCCCACATATGTATGGCCCAGGTAACAGCCAGATCCTAGGGACCAGGTAGCCCCACACACATGTGCTTGGCCTTCCAGGAGCCCTATGGGAGGACAGGATTGCCCAGGGTCCTGCCTAGCATTCCTGAGATGGGGATGGAGGGAGCATCCATACTTGAGACTGGGAGTTGAACAAAGATTCCCCAGAATCTTCCTATAAATGGAATCTGGCTCCCACCACAAACCACATCCCTGTGTTCATGGCAGTTGAACACAGGTCTCAGAGTCTCCATGAGGCTCAGAAGCTCCAGATGTGTCCAGCTAGGGGAATGGGAGGCAGTAGAGGAGAGACCCATTAGGGCCTGAGGATGGGGCCAGGTCCTATTCAATCCTGTGATGAAGGGCTGCAGGAGACACCCGGCAGCAGCCCCTAGTGGATAAACAGATCTGCTGCCTTTCACCAGCTCCCAAAAGCTGCCCCACATATCCTCACACTGCTCCTATGCAGAGAAGCAACTGGGGTGTCTGCTAGGAAGAGCCCAACATCTTTACTTCTGTCCCCACCTCGCCAGCTCTGTCATCCCACTGACAAATAGTGAGTTGATTGGGCAGCTCCTACTTCCCTGCACTGGGAGTTAAACCAATAGTGGCCCTCACCCTTAGGGGCTAGGGCACCATGGACAGAGGAAAACAGGGAGGTCCAAGCAGTCTGCTCCATGCAGATGAGTGCTGTGGGTTGTGGGAGGTGTGGGGGGTGGGAAATGGTGACATTTAAGCAAAGAGATTCCCTGCAGGGACTGAGGACAGAGCCAGGTCAAAGGACATTGGCTGAGCCAAGCAGCGCCACTATTTGGCTCCTTGGCCACTGCTGCCATCTCACAGACCAAGAATATTGGTCACTCCACGCACCTCTTCCAGATGCATGTTGTCCAGGCGCCTTCCTCCCACCCGCCTCTTTCTAGGGAACTGGCCTGACAGTGGAAGGAGGTGGAATTCACAGTGGTCTAGGTGATGCTGATTTTACCCCACTCTGGCGCAGGGGTGCTCTGTTCTGGCCAATTAGTGTTGTAGTGGTGCTGCTAGGATTTAGGGGAGACATTTTCTTAAGAAGACATCATAAGACCTAAGTGTCCCTTTTTCCTCTGGATTCGATACTGTCGGATGCGATGCTTGGAACTGCGCAGTAATTTTGTGACTGTGAGGGTGTCTGCCTAAATTCAGAACTAATCCAGGAGAGTGAGAAAGTAAGAACAGAGGCTCCAGGAATACTGCAGAGGTCATGACTGTCCTGCTGGGGATCCAACCACTCCCAAGGCCCCCAGGCTCCTGCTTACACAGATAATGTCCTTATTGCTTCAGTCAGTTTGTGGCCAGTTTTCTGTTACTGGCAACAGCACGCTACCTTGCTGGGCAGCATCTCACCAGCAAGGCAGAAGTGGGAAGACTGGCCGTGGAGTTGTGAGAGGAGGAAACAGTGAGCCTGGTGCTCACAGACACCTCTGGGAAAAGGAGAGTGGCTTAGGGACTGCCTGGCCGGGAGATGACAGTCATGGCACTCTGTACTACCACTGCATAGACACTGGGCAGCATCCTCTGCCATGAGTCCGAAGAGCCATCTCCCTCCACCCTGGCTCCCCCTCTGCCTGAGAGGTCACACCCTGCTTCCACACATCATGGGCAGGCAAGTCAAAGCCTGAAACACCTGGCAGGCCGGGCCACATAGCCCAAACCTTATAGCAAGGGATGCAGGGAGGTGAGTGTCCAGTGCCTCCCACCTGCAAAGTGGGAGGTAGACTCGGATCCTTGATAGGGGAGCCACCCCCCGCAAAGGACAGGGTCAGATACAGAGTGATAAGAGACTGGAAAGTAATCCACGCAGCCACTAGCCTTCCACCAGCACCACCACCATCACAGCCACCATCTCCTGTGTGTGTATGTGTGATGCTGATTGAACCCAGGCCCTTCTGCATGTTAGGCAAGCACTTCACCACTGAGCCATGCCCTAGTCCCATCACTACAACCATCACTTCCACCATGACCACCATCATCCCTTCTACCATCACCAAAACCTCAACCATCACCAGTACCACCATCTCTCCATCACCATCATCTTTGCCATCATCACCACCACCCCACCCCTCCGTCACCACCTCACCATCACCATCACCTCTGCCATCCCTCCATTACCACCTCTACCATCACCTCCACCATATTCACCACACCGTTCTTCTCTCACCATCACCATCACCTCTGCCATCATAACCACCACCCCATTCCTCCATCACCGCCTCCATTCCACCATTACCTCCTCTGTCACCGTCTCCACCGTCACCTCTGCCATATCAGCATTACCACCATCCCTCCATCACACACCTTCACTATTACCGTCTTCACCATCATCTCCACCACCCATTACACCTTTATTAACATCACTACCACCCCTGTACCAAGGCTATCATTGTCACTCTCACTTGCCATCCCCTCATAGGAGCCTCTTTCGCAAACACCTGGTGTCCAATGCCTCCTTTACGAAGCTCTCCCACCACCACTGCCCTAGCTAACTTGCTTAACTGAAAGTGGTGTAGTTGAACTGTAGGGCCAGCGATAAGAAGGACCATGAGTCCACATCGACCTTAGCACCTGGCCATATGCCAGGACAAGTGCTTAGGAGGTAACTCTAGTGCCTGGTGCTATGCTAGATTGGCCTGCAGATCTTGGCTGTAGGGTCCCTCTGGGCATGGCTGGGCTTCCATCTGGGTGCTCCTGGCTAGCCTCTGCCAATTGGACCAGATGGCAGTTCCCAGGTCCCTAAGGTAAGGCAGGTGCTTAGGGAGGCTAACATCTCCGGGGCAGGAGTTTAGTGGGCACATGGGAGCTGCCCTTTGCCTGGCAGGTGCTGGCCTGCAGGAGGTCTGAGCAGGTAGGTGGGGGCTCTCTCTGCCTTGTCTCTTCACTTCACCTCAGATACCCCAGGTCAGGGTGTGCCTGATCACTCTGATGCACATGGAGCCTGAAGCCCAAGTTGGGGGTGCCTATGCCCGCTGGTCTGGACCCACTCTGAAACTCTCAGCTTCCTCGTGGAGCAGTAGGACTGCTGCTTCATCCCAAAGCCACTAAGAGTGGAGGAGTCAGGCCCTGGGCAAGGCTTCCTGAGCCTGCATCCACCCACACCGGAGGTGCACCCAAGTCCCCCATTTCTGGGGCCACACAAGGCTCCCACTGGTCAGGCACATGGAGGCGGTGTCCTCACTCCACTCTCACTGTCTCCTTACCCTGCCCCGGCCTCTCTCCAGTCTCCTTCAAGACAGAAAGAGGAATGGTGGAAGAGCAGGGGAGAGGCAGGAACTCCATCCCTAGTACCACCACCGCCATACTGCCAGGCTGGGTGTGAGCCTCACCCACCCCAAAAGGGGCTCTGCTACCTCCCCAGTCACACCTCTCCAATCTCAGAGTCAGCAGCTCTGAGACATTTGCCCACTGTCCCGAGAAAGGCCGGGATCCCTGCCCACTGACTTTGAAGCCTCCAATCCGCAGGCCGCCCAGGCCCACCTACCTGCACTGTGTGCAGACACACACGTTCCCCCAGTCCAGCACACATGGTAGATGTGTCAACACACACACACACACACACAAAGCAGGAGGTTGCTGCCTGTGCCCCCCTACCTTGCCGCACGGAGACGTAGCGATGGTTGGCGGCCACTAACACAACCTGAGGGTGACTCTCCTCCAGGTCGAAGAGCTCATCCTTGCCGGGCCGTGTGTTGCGGCCTGCCTTGAGTGTGCCAGCAGGCCCCACAGGTGCCAGGTAGCGGCCATCGCAGTCTTTGAAGGCCAGCTTGCCTGCCTTGAACTCAAGGGTGTAGCAGGCATGAGCCTCGGGCTCCCAGACCAGACGGCCATCGCTGCGTAGGTAGCGGCTGTCGCAGGACTTGAGGCAGTACCTCCGGCTCTGGAAGATGAGGGTGAGCAGGGCATCCACACCCCATGGCATGTCGCCATCTGCTACCATCTCGTCGTCCTGAGGGCACAGATGCACATAGCGCCGCCGGCTCACACTCAGCAGGTGGGCCTGCGGGTGGATGGCCAGGTGCACAGTCCAGAGCTCCGCGGGGGAGATGGCCGTGGCAAAGCAGGACAGCTGGTCCTCAGTGCCACCAAAGAAGCGACCGTGTGGCTCTGACTGCAGCACCCAGCGACCATCGGGCTGCGGCAAGACCAGGAAGCGGCAGTCACGGCCCGGCCGCTCTGCCTCGCAGGCCACTCGTCCGTCCTCTTCAGCTGACAGGTAGCGGCCCAGGTGGCTGCTGCGGAACAGCACTGCCGTGCTCAGCCCCGGGTCAGGCTCCAGCAACCATATCTGCTTCCTCTTGAGGCTGGGTGCTGAGGCATTGACCTTGAACCCAAAGCTCTCTGCTGTCAGGTAACGGTCAGTGTCATTGAGGAGCCCAAACTGGATCTTCAGCACCTGGTGCAGGCCATTGGTTGGCATCTTCAGGGCTGGCCAGGTCCCTTCAGGAGCCTAGGAAGTTCCTTCTGAGTGCTCACGGGCCCCAAGGCCCCCCAGAGGCCCGGCTTGGCTCAGCTGGCCCTCTGCTCCCAGGCCTAGCTAGTGTCATGGACCTGCTTCCCACACTGAGGCTGCCTCTGTCCAGTGGCCTTAGCCACCCAGGCAGGTCTTACGTGGCCAGTAAGCAGCAGAGGGTGGGTGGAGAGGGTGGACCAGAGACCTGCCTGCTTAGGAGCCACCTTTCGTTACCCCCAGCTTGGATTTCAGTTGCTCCTGGATTGCACAGAGGCCGGAGCCTGATGCCCTGCAGGGCTGGAGAGCAGGGACTGATCACCTCCTTGGCCTCACCTGCTGCTTCCTGGGTCCAACGCCTGGCCCTATGTCCCACCTTGAGGCCTCCACATTTCTTGGCCTCTCTCCTCCCTGTCCACCACCTCAGGGGTCCCCAAAGCCCCCAGGCTCGGCCTCTATCAGCACAGCACAGTTCTTTCCCAAGGTAGAAAAAGCTACCCAGTGGAAAACTCACAGAAGAGCAGCAACCTGATCGCAGCCCTCCACCCTCAGCGGCGCCAGGTCCCCCGCAGGATCCAGTTACTGCTTCTCTGATTCCTGCTGCCAGGAGCACGCAAGGCCCCTCCACAGCAGCCTGCAGCCTGCGTCCTGGCCCACCCCTCTAGCCTCGTAGCTCCTGCCCCAGGCTCCAGCCCTGGATCTAACATTGTCGTGGGGGTGACCCCTGCCTCCGACTGGAAAGGTGGCGGCGGGGGGGGGGGGGTTGCTGTGCCAGTGGCAGAACTGGGACCTGGGACCCCTGAACCTGAGCCAGGGCATGGCAGGGTAGAGACAGGAACCTTGGCTATGGTGGCCTCACATAGAAGTCCCTGGATTGGGAAAGAGCAGCCTTGAGTGTGAGGGGAGCTGTGATGCCTACATCCAGGGCTGGGCATACAGGAAGGAGCACAGTAACCCAGCTGTCAGAGGCCCAGGTCCTGGCTGGGCCCTTGTGTGCCCTGGCTGACTCTGATGCCCCTTCAGAGAGCTGAGGGTGAGCCACTTTCAGACAGTGCCCTTCAGCAAACTTGCTAGGCAGCCTCGGGGACCTCACAGCAGCAGCTCAGATCACCAGGGCAATGGGCCTGACTTTGGGAGGTCTCTGCAGACTTGGGTCCAGGTGGCTGTGTGGGACACCCAAAGGTGTCCCTTGGAATCTGGGAGAGGATGGGACCTTCAGACTGGAAGGTACTGGAAGCTGGCTGCACCTGACCCCTGGTACCTCCTAGGCCCCTGGAGCCACCTGGATGCCCGCTCTTCACTTTGAGTCTAAAGCAACCTTGGGGGCTTCAGTGGCCCTGCTCAGCTGCACTCTGCCTGCCTGTGCCTGCACCTGCCTGAGAGGCCAAGAGCCAAGTAGGGAAACTGGAGCTGCCCATCCTGGGCCTGGGCCAGACTTGGTGTCCTCTTCCTTGTCACAGTGTGTGACCCTCAGGCCTCCCTGAGGACCACAGGGCCACCGAGCATTTCCAGCGACAGTCTCCAGTCCCATTCCTGTCCTCCTAGGCCCTCCATCCCTCAAATGGCCATGTTGGGGGGGGTCCCATGGAGGGGCAGACAGGCACAAAGGTCCACCTTTGTGCAGAGGGATGGAGGTCCATCCCAGCTGTTATAGGCACCTGCAGACACTGAGGAAGTGAAGGGGACCTGTCTTCAACTTGGGGCCCTAGGGTGGGGTTTAGCAAGAGACTATCTGCAAATCCCTGCTCATCTCAGCTCTTCCCGCAGGCTAGTTTCATCTGCCTGTGATTCACACATGGTTACGTGACGCGCAGCAACTATATGCATGGCCAGGCTGTGTGCCAGGCGCTGCCCTAGAGATGCAGCCTGGGTGGCACCCCTTCCCAGAGATGATGCCTGGTGTGCATGGACAATCCCCTGGCTTCCATGCCAGGAAGTGTCCCTGATTTGGGGTATAAGCAGTGATGCTCTCCATGCCTCAGTCTCCCAAGGTCCCAAGGGCCTGGCTTGGTTTGTCTGTGTGGTGGAGAAGCCTGAGGTCCAGCTGTGCCCTAGGCATGGACACTGGCTAGTCTTCTGCAGCCCCAAGCCCAGCCAGGTTGGGAAGGAACCTGGGATGTCTTGTCCCTCTGATTAACATAAAGGCCTCATTAGCACTGACTGGTGCTGGCAGGATGTTCACAGGCATCAGGTGCCCCGCGGGAGGAAGCTTGGCCGCCAGGCACTAAGCGGCCTGGCTCTGGGCAGCCTCTCAGTGGCACAGCCTGAGGTGGCGACTCAGGGGTCCCTCAATTCTGAGACCCCCACAGCTCCAAGTATGGTGGAGCTATTTGCACTGACCCAGGCATATGAGCCAAGCATGGGAGCCAAGAGGGACTGCAGGGCCCCAGGGGAGGGGACTTCCTTGAGGGGGGCAGTTTGCATAGGTCCCTCCACTGGGTCTGCACCATACTCCCCAGACCCTGGCCTACCTGCATCCTGAGGAGAGCTTCACTTCTGGGTCCTGGCAAGATTTCTGGCAAGTGCCTGTGAATGTCCAATGTGGGGGTCTGGTTCTTGTGCAAAGGGCTGAGGCTCTGCAGAAAGAAGTGATACTGCATGTGTGTCTTGCCGTGTGTGTGTTTGTGTGGGTATGTGTGAACGTGCATACGGACAGGGGCTGGGCCAAGCTGCCACCACGGTCACCTGCTGGGCTGGGCCAGCCCCTGGAGATGCTGCCCCAGACCACAGCCTCAGTGCCACTGTTGGCTGCTCAGCAAGGTGATCAAGTTGTTCACTGCTCACAAGACCCTTTTTCTAGGCCTCTGGTCACATCCCAGATGTGCACTACACACAGGAGCCCGAGGCCAGGCCTGGGTCCTGCAGCCCCTCTGTAGGGTACTCAGGTGAAAGCACCCCTCCCACTTGGGGTGGACAAGCGTGTCTGCCACTGTGGCCTGTTCAGGCTACACTCTGGAATCCCACTCACTCACCCTGCCCGCCTCTGAACCTGGGGAAGACTGTCCAGCATATGGTTGTAATTTGTGTGCCAGACCCAGGCACAGATGGCAGACCACCCGAGGAACCAACTTAAATGTGCTTGTCTTGAGGGAGGAATACATTTTCCTGATGGACACTGAGAGGCCATTTGGGTAAGCTGCACCCCCAGTCCTTACTTCAGGGATCAGTGAGCTGTGGGTGGACCTGGCATGGACCTTCCTAACTGCAGCTGGGTCCAGATGGCTCAGCTGTCAGATCCCCCAGCAGGCAAAGCCAGGGTCTGAGCTCAGTCCCCTGCCCCTCTTAGTGAGGGGCCAGCTAGGGGCAGAAACAGAGAGAGTCTTGAAGCCCCCAGTCTCCTGGCACCCACCCTAGAGCTCCTTCCCAGGGTGCTGGGGGATGGGGTGCCCTGGCCACCTGAGAGTCCTCCTCGTCATCTCCACCCGGCCAGGTAGCCGGCCTGGGACACTAGAGCCCAGCCTGGGCTCCTACTGTCATGGTGACCAGCTCATGTGCCAGGCTGGGTGCCCAGCAACGCTGATGCTGGTGGTGTGAGCTGGCACGGGTCTATACTTGTGGGGAAGGGCAGCACCCTCCTGGCTGGCTCTTAGCCCTGGAAACTGTGTAACAGAGACTGGCAGGGGGTGGAGGAAAGCCCCGAAGCCCCCTTCCTGAGCCCCAACCCCCTTCCTGATGTCCTGATTAACATCTCTGCCCCTCAGTCCTAGTGGGCAGCCCCCCACGGGAACTCTGGTATTGCTCCCTGGCCCCACAGTGAGGGAGGGCCACCTTGCTAGGCACAGCCAAGGCCCTGATTTCCTGGTCCCTGAGCCCAGCACCTGCTCCCTGCTCCTGGTTGCCTGGAGCCCTGGAGCTCCCGGTTGGCAGGGGAGCCCGCAGTGTTCCTGAAACACTGTGGGCTGCCCTCGCTGGGGTGCTTCATGAATTTTTCATGGTGGAGCGCTCTGCCCTGGCAGTTCCACTTACACACAGAGCAGCGCTGCAAGGGGCGCCACGGTTCTCTTACTCTGGCCTAGGTTGGTTTACTTAGGCCTGCAGGCCTGGTTTAGGGTGACAGGCTCTGCTCAGCAAGTGGGAGCCTGGGAGCAGAGGGTGCCGTCTCCCACCCCCCACTCCCCAACAGTACTTGTTTCTGCCAGGGTTGGGGTCGTAACTCAGTAGTGTGGCTCTTGCCTGACAGGCCCAGGGTCCTGCTTTAATCCTCAGCGTTGCTCGCTCACACGAGCTACCGAAACACCTGCTGTTCTCGCCTTCGCCTTCCAACAGGAATGGTGCAGTCTCTTGGTTTTTGTCTCTTGTAAAACCATGATGCCATGAGCAGCCCGTGTCCAGGTTGTACCTGGAAATAGGAGGGAAGAGGCCAAGAAGTAGGGAGTGGGAGACCAGAGGTCTCTTTGTCCTGGCAGAAAACCCAAGGTCCCAGGAAGGCCAAAAATCCCCAAAGGGAGCATGAAAGCAGGATACAGGGCATCTCAGCAAGCTGTGACCACTGGGGCAATCTTGCAATACTCAAATCCCAGGACCTTTGCACATACCTGGGACAGGAAGAACATTTAGGAAAATATCTGAGCATGAGCCCCTGGTTCCATGGGCCTCAGTGAAGACCAGATCACCTCCCAGAAGATAGATGCCTGTTTATTGCCTACCTGGGCTTGCAAACAAACAGATGTATCAATACCTGATGTGGACAGCTATGAGCCCACAACTCTGCAGGTGGCCAGGGCAGCTGGCCCCCTGACACCCTCCCCCCGACCCTTATGAACACACAGGCCTGGAAATGCCCAGAAACATGACACCACAGCTGCCTGCAGAGATTCAGCCCATCCTCCAAGGAGACCCCCACACACACATCAAACAGTCACAGGCACTTACTAAGTACCTATTGTGTCCCAAATGCCTTGCTTGGGATTCTGCAAGAAGTGAATTCCATCCCTGACTTTGAGCACAAAACAGAAAAGGACCATGCACTGTGAAAGTATGGAACAGGCCCTGTGCATCATCAATGTCAGGATCAGACAGTTCCCATGGGCTGGAGCCTCACTGCTCAGGTTGAGGCCTGAGTGCTAGCTGCTCTCTAAAGAAGTCTTACTACCCATGGCGA